GTTTGAAGAAATCAACTGTGGGAGCAATTATTAGGAAATGGAAGACATACAAGACCACTGATAATCTCCCTCGATCTGGGGCTCCATGCAAGATCTCACCCCGTGGGGTCAAAATGATCACAAGAACGGTGAGCAAAAATCCCAGAACCACACGGGGGGACCTAGTGAATGACCTGCAGAGAGCTGGGACCAAAGTAACAAAGCCTACCATCAGTAACACACTACGCCGCCAGGGACTCAAATCCTGCTGTGCCAGACGTGTCCCCCTGCTTAAGCCAGTACATGTCCAGGCCCGTCTGAAGTTTGCTAGAGTGCGTTTGGATGATCCAGAAGAGGATTGGGAGAATGTCATATGGTCGGATGAAACCAAAATATAACTTTTTGGTAAAAACTCAACTCGTCGTGTTTGGAGGACAAAGAATGCTGAGTTGCATCCAAAGAACACCATACCTACTGTGAAGCATGGGGGTGAAAACATCATGCTTTGGGGCTGTTTTTCTGCAAAGGGACCAGGACGACTGATCCGTGTAAAGGAAAGAATGAATGGGGACATGTATCGTGAGATTTTGAGTGAAAACCTCCTTCCATCAGCAAGGGCATTGAAGATGAAACGTGGCTGGGTCTTTCAGCATGACAATGATCCCAAACACACCGCCCGGGCAACGAAGGAGTGGCTTCGTAAGAAGCATTTCAAGGTCATGGAGTGGCCTAGCCAGTCTCCAGATCTCAACCCCATAGAAAGTCTTTGGCGGGAGTTGAAAGTCTGTGTTGCCCAGCGACAGCCCCAAAACATCATTTATTTTTCTCATTTTGTCTGTCATAGTTGACGTGTACCTATGATGAAAATTACAGGCCTCTCTCATCTTTTTAAGTGGGAGAACTTGCACAATTGGTGGCTGACTAAATACTTTTTTTCCCCACTGTAAACATTCAAATCATAGACCATATTTTGCCCTTTTTCTATGAGAATCCTGCTGCAGCTGGCTGAGGGTGTTTTTTCTGTGTGGTGGTATGGAGGCCAGTGCCTGCCACAATGCCTTGCTTGTGTTCTCTGGGCAGGCAGAGCCTGGCTCGGCTCCTGTCACACAGTTGCTTGCAGCACTTGTCCTGCCACTTGGCTTGACCCTCGACCTGTCTGCTGCCTCGAAGTCTGGGGCTAGGCTACCCCATATCCCATCCATCTACAATGTGACCATGTAAGAATGTTTAACTACAAAAATACTAGTAATATCTTCTATTTTCATGGTTTTCCTGCTAATTTTTTTTGTAGAGCAATTTGTGCTTGTTCTTGTTGCTTCTTTGAGAATTGTTTTCATGTCATATTAGTTGCATATTTAGGTCGATAACCATTACCTTGGATGCTATAAATGTTTGTTGTTGTAGTAGAATATCGATGAAATGAGGCACAGACTATAAAAGGGTATAATGGGATTGAAACGGTCTCTACCTGTTTTTGAAGTTTTCCTGTTTGAATCCACATAAGAGCATTCTGGGGAGAAGCATTCCTTTGCTTTATTGGCAACAGATGTAGAGGACATTTTTGAGCTGAACCTTTGAGTGCTAAAAGCGGTACGGTGCTGTGTAGTGTAGGGCAGCTGTTTGGCCGAGGAGGCTGAAATAGACCTCATGAGAGGAGACTGAGGGGTTGTCTAATGGTGGGCATGTGGTTGTACCCTGCCGTCACTGGGCCTGATGCCTCCCAGCGGCAGACGGATCAGGAGCTGTCTGCTTGAGGAACAGCTGCCCCATCCACCACCATGAGGCTACCTTAGTCGTTGATGTCGAAAAGAGTCATGGATACACATTTGGTACATGCTGCCTGTGCCATTCTTTTTCATTTCAGTTGACTTTTTATGCTGACAAATGCCTTGAAGATATAGCGCAGGTAAATCATACTTGGGAGCTCATTTTGTATCTGGCGACAGAGAGCTTGCTCCAGGAAACCTAAGCCCCTTGCTTGTCCAAGTAGCAGCAGCTGAGATACACAGTGAGTGGTGGAGGCTGAGCTAACATTAGCCCTGAGTGCACCCTGCCGAAGGAAGGACTTTAAACCGGGCGCTGAGCCAGCAGCACAGACTGGGGACCCTCCTATTACATGGGTTTGTTTGGGTGTAAGCTCTAATACCTTCCGCATTGGAACAAGAAGGTTGGCTGCCAATAGAGAGAGGATAGTGGGGCAGGTCACATCAATATTGATGCCGTGCCCAGCCTGGCCTACTCATCTTAGCCAGGCCTTAGGCAGGCAGGGCAGCAGTGTTTTTACATGGCCTATTGACACTTGGACAAAAACAGAACCATTTTTAATGGTGCGAGGCCAGGCAGGGCATCTGACCAAATCAACAGGACACCAAGACCCTCAAACTCACTTTGGAGTCAGAACAACAAACCTGACAGCTTCCACTTCATGGTTTGATAAGTCTAAATGAGAATATCAGAGGCAATATTGGCTTTGTTTATTCATCACAATAATTGACTGGCTCCGCCTCCTTTGTTATGACATGAGACCTACTGTATTTCACAACAGTTTCCTTATTGGATTTATAGACCTCTGATGTAACTTCCCTTTTCTGTTTTGCAGTTTCTAGGATTTAGGACCTTTTGGGGCTGGACCTGGCTAGTCAGGCTCCTGTTTCCTGTTTCCTCCTGTATCCTTAATATCCCTATTTACTGGGTTAAGCAGCAGTGTGGGGCATCTGGCAGTTACCGCAGTCACTGTAATCCATGGGATTTAGAGACAGGATAGACTGCTCATCTCACTAGTTAGACTACCTCTCTCAAGCACAGTGTTTGAAGTAGACTGCTTGTCTCTTTTTTTCAACAGAAAACATAAGGAGCAACATTTTACCTTTTGGTTATAGAGAGAACTGTTAAACTTGACATCAGGTGTTATGACCTGGATTTTGGAACCAGTTTGCTCACTTGGAAATTGTGGTACTGACCTGTTACACCCTCTACAACCACTGATTATTATTTGACCCTGCTGGTCATCTATGAACGTTTGAACATCTAGAAGAACAATCTTCCTTAATGGCCATGTACTCATATCTCCACCCGGGACACAGCCAGAAGAGGACTGGCCACCCCTCAGTCTGGTTCTTCTCTAGGTTTCTTCCAAGGTTCCTGCCTTTCTAGAGTTTTTCCTAGCCACCGTGCTTCTACATCTGCATTGCTTGCTGTTTGGGGTTTTAGACTGGGTTTCTGTATTTACATTTGCTAATGTGAAAAGGGCTTTATAAATACATTTGATTTGATGGCTGTCTCTCCATTGCTTCCATGGTGTAGGCTCAGGCTCTGTCTGCACACCCCTCTGTTTGTGAAAGGAAGTGAAGTTTGAAGGTCAGTGAACATTGTAGATAAAAACAGTGGTGGAATGTTTTGTATGGTTGATAAAGGCCATGTAGAATGCACATGATGTCTGAGCAGCACACAATGACGGGTGTCTGGTGTTATCCTGAGGAAAAGCTGTGGCTTGTTTTCTTTCCACAAGTTGCTCCCTCATCCCAAAACATTTCTAGCTGTAAGCATGTGGCTGGGTGATAACTCGGACTCCGAGCGTTCCAGCACAAATGAATAGCAGATAGGCCTACACATTACACAGTGGGACTGGTCTGTCCAGTATAATTAGTGTGATGTTGCCATTTTGCAATTTAGGGTGTGATATCATCAGGGGATTCTAATATCAACAAACAGTACAGCAACGCTCCAGATACCAATTGCAAATGTTTTAGTATTGATTGCCACATTTCTTGTGTGCGTCTGAATTTCCTAGCCTTCATTATGCTAGCTAGGGCCTACATCTAGGGGCGGCAGGTAGCTTAGTGGTTAAGAGCGTTGTGCCAGTAACCGAAGGTCGCTGTTCTAATCCCCGGACGACTAGTGAAAAATCTGTCGATGTGCCCTTGGCAAGGTTTAACCCTAATTGCTCCTGTAGTCGCTCTGGTAGAGCGTCTGCTAAATGACTAAAAAAAAAAAAAAAAAAAAAAAAAAAAAAAAGAAAACAGGTACATTTCCAAGTATTGACATGGACATCTCTCCACTACTGTGACAAATATTATCACCATTGTTCTCAAACTAGGTAATGATACATGCTGGCATTTGTTTCTCCTAACCATGCATTATGCTTATTTGCATAATTACATAAAACTACCAAGGGGAGAAACAACAGGTTTCTATGGACATTTGCTGCTTAGGTTTTGAAAGGGGATATTGTTAACTCCCACTGTGTGTGTTCAATTAGGACAGATCGCCACTGTTTTCCAACAATGACCGCTTGTAGACATTTGTCTGTGGTTTTCCTTTTGTAGAGGAGTTATTACTGAGGACTAGGGTTAATTCTTCTTCAGAGATGCTCTCCATGAGGTACAACGTTAGTACCAGTCTAGAAGTGTTGATTGTGTTGTGTATGCAGGGATCTACACTGTGAGCATGTCTACCATTTATTTACTGAATTATGAAGGCTAATATTAAATTAGTCTAATAATGGGATCAAGAATTAACACCTGACTATGCTAAACCCCCAATGTTCTTCTGTTTTCTCTTGTTCAATTTTGTTGCTGTTGAGTTGGGCTACTGTAAGTTGTTGCACAATTTGGTCATGAAACCTAGTGTAATTCCTTAAACTAAATACTTACTTGAGTTTCTAAGCATTCACAATTATTTTCCTTATCTTCCCAAGAACTGGCTCAAAACCGCCACATTTTATTGGAAATAACAGCACATTTGAAACAAAGCTCATCCTTCCTCTATCATTGTAACGTTATTTTGTTTCTCCCTTTTCCTCCCTTAGGAAATGACCTAGAGGCCTTACAGATACATTTGTGCTTTTGTCGCTCTTCTAATCTGCGTTTTGTGGAGGAGAAGCGGCGAGATCTGGAAGCACATTTTGTTTCCGCAGTGATTAATAACTACCTCAGCCAGCAGAAGGAAACGGCGCGGACGTCGAGGAGGAGGAGGCCGGCGAAGTTTCCAACAGCAGTCCTATCAGCTGGCTTCTGTTCACCGCCACACAGACACTGTGTGAAGAGGATCTCTGACGGACTGGTTGTCTGCCCTCCGCTCCGCTCCATACACACCACAGGCTGCCATCGCAGAGAGGAAGTGAAGTGACAAGGCACCATAATCCTACTGGAGAACTGTTGTTTTTTTTATTTTCACACTCCTTGCTGTTGACCAGTGCCACATTTCTTTTCAGATTCTTCGCTTAGTTTTTTGCTTTTAAAGATTTTCTTTTTTTTTGGAAGTCTATCAGTAAAAACATCCATAAATGCTATTAACATGTTATACAAAGAATACATTTTCTGCTTCCATTTGAAGGAATTGTTATGCACATGAATCTTGTCTTGGAATGAGAGTGAATTGTGGAGCGTTTTCAGTTTTTTGTGCTGTCCTCATAAACCATTGACTCCTTTTGAGGCTGAAAATACAGATTCGGAAACGTGCATTTCTGCCTGTTATTTTTGCTGGGGCTGCCCACCGTGAGCTGCAGCAGGGCTGCACATAAACATCACACTCAGTCAGCAAGTCTTTACCCTGCTCTCTCTCTGCATCTCTCTTGTTACAGTTCTGAGGCATATTGAGATGAGCTTCTGGCAGATGGAGCCCTTAAGTTGTCTTTTTACATAAATTCCAGGACTATTGGGTTGTTGTTTAGATAAGAGAGAGCGTTTCTGGCTGGGTGAAACCCGGAGCTTCCAGAGTCAGCCTGACACATATGTATTGTTGTAGTGCGCAGGAAAGTAAAATGGACTACAAGCGGCGCTTTTTGCTCGGCGGGTCCAAGCAGAAAGTGCAGCAGCACCAGCAGTACCAGATGCCTGAGCTGAGCCGGACCCTCAGCGCCCCCTTGGGCTCCACCTGCTCCCCCATGGGGGGCTCCACCGGGGTGGGCATGGCCGGCAGCTGCCAACCACCTCCCTCCACCCCCAACACCACCACTGCGGTCGCCGACATCCAGCAGGGCATCTCCAAGTACTTGGATGCGCTGAACGTGTTCTGCCGGGCCAGCGCCTTTCTCACGGACCTGTTCAGCAGCGTGTTCAGGAACTCCCACTACTCGAAAGCAGCTATGCAACTGAAGGACGTGCAGGAACATGTCATGGAGGCGGCCAGCCGGCTGACTGCAGCAATAAAGCCAGAGATCGCCAAGATGCTGATGGAGCTGAGCGCTGGGGCCGCCAACTTCAAAGACCAGAAGGACTTCAGCCTGCAGGATGTGGAGGTAAGGGGTTCCCGGGGTTACAGTTACCGACCTGGACACACTGAACACCTGTCAAAGTAAAGTTATTACATTATACTGACAATTAGGCCTACCTGTAAAAAAAATTACATGTTGAGTCTTTTCCGTTCCCCTCCCTTCCGTTTCTCTGTCAATCAGTGGAGGCTGGTAGGAAGAGCTATAGGAGGAAAGGTTCATTGTAATGGCTGGAATTGGAATATATGGAACGTCAAATGTGGTTTCCATATGTTTGACGTTTGATGCAGTTCCATTTATTCCATTTCAGCCATTACAATGAACCTTTCCTCCTATAGCTCCTCCCACCTGCTGTCAATAGAGCATGCTTTGCCAAAAGGGAACTTTTTTTTGCACTTTTGCTTTTGTTTCTTATGTTCCATTTTCTAGTGCAAGGCTGCTGCTAAGATGCCTAGCTAAAGTCTCTCAGAATGCATGGCTCCTTGATCCAGAATTTATTGGCTGAAATGAGGCCCTGACGCCCAATGTTAAGCGGGTGCTAGGATCTGAGGGCGAGGTGCGAAAAGCACTGAGGATGTGAGAAGAAGAGAGCCGGAACCATCGTTTATGCTGAGAGACAGACAGATCACCCTGCATTGCCAGCAAAGTTGCTTACGTCTCAATTGTGAAATGCTGCTCTGAAAGTATTTTTTTGCAGTGAGTCTTTGTATGGGAAAATAGTAACTGAAAGTAGACCACTGGCATCTGTGGATGAGAAGCCTTATGTACTGCTGCTGCCATAGCTGTGCCTACTGCCTAGCCAGTCAGACATGGATAGAGGTTCCAGGGTAGTGCCACTCCTAAATAATACTCAAGAGGAATGCCAATCCATTGCTCCCTGTGATTAAGAGTCAACCGTTTTATTTATTTATTTTTAATACATCTGTTTGGGCAGCAAGCAAATTGCCTCTTGTGTAGTGAATGTTTGTGCGATGTCTATGCTCTCATCCTGGAGATTAAACAGATTTAAGGGGGCAAGGCCTCAGTGGCAGACCATGAGTGAATAAGATGAATGTTCAGGCCAGGGCTGTTTTATGAGAGGGACTGCAGGGCCTCAGTGGATGTGGTTGTGCTCAGAGCAGGAAAGACTTTCGCACCACAATCTGTAATTTGGACTCTGTGGTCTTGGATATGCACAGATAAATATTAAGGGAGGGGAAGCCCAACTCAGTGAAAGTTCAGACTGCGGCAGGACTGTCTGGCAGCAACACTGACTCACTCTGGCTTCAGCTAGCGTCTGTGAATAACAACAGTGCGTTTGTCAAAGAAAAGTGTGCTTTTTCTCTACCTCAGTCTTGCCAATGTGCATGAATTGAGGAATGAATAAGATATTCAGACCTAGTTGAGTAGAAGGAATCTATCATAAACCAACACTTTTCAGGATGTTTACAGACAAAAGACAGACCTAAATGGCCACGTGCATCATATAGGCCTACTGTGTATTTTGACTAGACCAGTGAGTTTCACTCTGTTTCACAGATTACGGCTTTACTTTTTATTCCACCTCCATTTCCTCCATGAGCAGCTGAATATTGTTTATGTCAAATTACTTTTCACATAAGAACACAGTACACCTTTAGATTTGGCCATTTCCCTGCCCCCAGAGAGATTTACTACATTTGTGACGGAAAGGGCTTTTCCATTTGTGCGTGTGTATGAATATTTGTCTTGGCAGTTGTATGTAAAATATAGAATTGGGTCTGTATGAAGAACAAAAAAAGCTCTTGAGTTTGGGGAATTGTGGAATGTTGAAGGAAGCAGGATCATTTTTTCCCCTCTTATTCCCCAAAATCCAGAAAGTCCAGTCAGTATGGAAAACAAAACGTGTGTTTTTATCGGCACTTGGCTACCCTGGCTGCTCAAAGTGTCTCAGCTGCCAAATATGCATGAAAATGTCACGGTTTATTAGGGGGCAGTCTACTGAGTGTATGAGTGAAACCACAGAGGGAGTGAAGGTCAGGCCAACCAGACAGGAGTCCTGGGGAAGATCTCGATTGCATCCTCTCTCCTTCTCAAAGCCATTGGAGGAGAAGGTCAGAGACGAGGAGAAGATGTGAGGAGTATGCAATTTTAGATTTCCCCCTGGTTCTGAACAGGAGGCCATCACAGTGCAGCCAGGGCCAGAGCCAGGCAGACAACTGCACAAGCAGCACTCCCGAAACACCCCTGAAAAAACACATCTGACCTAGTTCAGCGGACTTCAAAGATTCTGTATCATTTTTCCCAAACAGTTGATTTGTTACTTGATAAGATTCTTTCATATCAGGTGTCTACTACATGGTCAGTCTATTTTGTTCTTAGGTTACTACTCCTCCTCTACCTCTGATTTTATGGCCACGCTCACAGCAGCCATTATTAGATTACAACCTCGAGGTTGTGTGTAACGAACGTCACCCGGTTTCTTTTAATTGAGAGAGAAATTAAATCTGTATCAAAACAATGGATGAGTATCATGTTGGATTATTATGCGACACACTAGCACCAGCACTTCCTGTTTTGGTCTAATAGACCCCTTTCTTTGTTTGCAAACATTGATGCACGAGGGCGATCTGCGCACGTTGGTGGCAGAACAAGGGGGAGTCCTTATAGAACGTCAGCAAAAAAAGACTATTTACATGTTGCTTATTAGTGCATTTTCTAACAACTTTTGGATTATAATTGGATTTTAAGGCTTGTATGAATGTCCTGCTTAATATAATGTTGGCGTCATCATCGCAAATCGACTGCATTATACTTGCACTTCAACTTCAACCAGTAAAATGGCTCTTTGGCTAGCTTTTGCTACAGCCTATATCAATGAGCGTTAGCATTCTAGCGAACAACTGCTGCATCCAAAATTAGTTATTTTGCAAAGATCACAACCAAATATAATCTTAGCGACTGTTCAAGCAAGAATCAAAACGTCATTGTAAGCATATGAGAACCCCAAAAAGTTATTTTGTTTAGAAGTACCGGTAATAAAATTTTAATCTAGGCTATGTTGAATGGGCGCAGATGGCAATGGTTTTCTTACTGCCGCCAAGAGTCGCACACGTCTGTAAGTGACGTCAGTGTGTCATGTACTGGAAAAGGGTCTATAGATGTTACCTTTGGAAATGGCCATCCTACAGAAGACAGGCTGGATGGTGAGGGCCACTCAGTAGCAGCACTAAAGAGGTATTTTAGACAGGAAGAAAACATGAAACACAAAGGCATCTGGTTTTTATTCTCACTCTCCTAGGATAGATTATCATTTCCACTTCAAGAAGACAATAGATGTGTCCTTAGTAAATGGTGAAGATCAGTGTTGTTCGATTCATCCTTCTCACTGTTTAAGCCTGCCTTTCAGCCCTGTATGTGTCCAAAAGTTGGCTTGGCCCTGTTAGTTTTATTCCTCATATTTTCCATGAGCCGATAAGAAATGTCATCTTATCCCCATGTGTGATTAATTATTTTTTGTTGCAACTTTTTCATTTATCTTGCTAGATTATCATGTCCTTTTATAGTTTGTGATTGTCTGTTCTGTCCTTTTATAGTGTTCTGTACATCTGGTCCAAAAATAATAGTATTAATGGTATTATAAGCAATTTGACATTACTTCTCAGAATGCAGGGCTTGACATTAACTTTTTTGCAACTTGTCCTTTGGACAAGTAGGACTGATTTATTATTTTTTATTACTTGGCCAAAAGCTCAAGTCACTTACAATAAATAAATGGTCTTTAACATCATTTGTACATCATTCTATGACTTTACAAAATAAAATGCATTACCATCTTTTTTACCATAGAGAATCAGACAAAAATGTAGGCTACACTCTTTCTTTGCATATTCAAGCCTGTCTCAAAACACAACACAGCCCCTTTTAAGGCTCTCCTGGAGGATGGTTGGCCACCTTTGGTAGCCTATACAATATTGCAACATTACAATTACAACCAAATACTTTTTATTTCATTATAAAATAATTCCCTCCAGGGCTCGTAAGTAAGGGCACCTTTTTGTCTTCTGGGACGATAAACTGGGACAGTTCTGGGATGACAGATCCAAAATCCATACAACCACTGCAAAAAATAAAACAATGAGGCTGATGCAACAGATCAGACCATTTTAGCTTAAAATGTTGATAACGTTTTATTTTTTCATATTATAAGCTCAACAATGCGCACATGGCTGTTGGTTACGTGTGAATGTTCCAAAATGCAATTAGTGGGAAAACACCGGGAAAACACTGTTCTCAAAAGCGCACTGCATGCATGAGCGGTTTCATGTGACCGAGATGAAAATATCTGTTAAACAATTTGAATGTTTTCTTAATTTCTAACAACTATCTGTAATAATAGGCCTTTTTGTTGCATTCACTTATAAAATGGACTCCAAATTTGACCGCTAAGATATTTTATGTTAAACAATTCCGCGACTCAATTCCGTGACAGCCTACAATTTGTTTGATAGTCTGCATTAGGAAAGTGAGGGGAGAGAGACAATCTCATATCATTATTCATTGAGCCAGTGTTCGGTATGCATTAGTCATTTGAGAGAGAAGTGTTACCAGCGTTAATACTGTGATTAGCAGTGCAACGTAAGCAGCAGGCATGTCACACACCCTCATAACTCATGGATCAGAACCAATACTGCATGTTTGACCCATTCCCTTATGTTATAACTGTTATTTGGTCCTATTTCCGAATCAGAGCTGAAGAGGGCTCTAAAGGGTTTGGACCTTGCCTTGGAAATGGTCAGTAAATGTATAGGCCTAGTCGGTGTTGGTGTCTGTGCCCCCATGATGTGGTGTTAAAGAATGAGGACAGCCCAGCCTTGTTGTTCCTGTCTGCTTTTAAACAGGGTGGCATATTTCTGTCTTAACAACTCAGCCAAAATATATTTTCAGCACGTACCTGAAAAAGAACCCTGTGACCACAGTGAGCCCGGCTGTGGTGTCCTGTTGCTCTTGTTTTTGCTAACTGGACAACCAACATGTCTGACTCCTCCTAAACCTTGACAATTCCTTCCTTCACTTATGTAAATGTGAATATTATTGCTTATATGAATCACCCATTGCACAGGGTCTGGGACGCTGCCATCCTGAGGTGGAAAAATCTGCTCCACTATTAAGTTGAAAGGAGAATAGCCAACTTCGTATCAAATAAAACTTTGTCACATGCGCCGAATACAACAATGTGTAGACCTTACAGTGAAATGCTTACTTACAAGCCCTTAACCAACAATGCAGTTCAAGAAAGAGTTAAGAGAATATTTTACCAAATAAACTAAAGGAAAAAATAAAATAACAATGAGGCTATTTACAGGGGGACCGAGTCAATGTGCGGGGTACAGGTTAGTCAAAGTAATTTGTACATATGTAAGGGTAAAGTGACTATGCATAGATAATAGACAGTGGGTAGCAGCAGTGTAAAAACAAATGGGGGGGTCAATGTAAATAGTCTGGGTGGCCATTTGATGAATTGTTCATCAGTCTTATGGCTTGGGGGTAGTTTGTAGGCGTTGCTTGTTGTGCTTTACTACTACAGTACTAGGCCTCTCAGTAGAGTAGACTGTGATTTATAACACAGACTGTGCTTCCCAATTATGGTAGAAAGTGATTTGCCCTTGTAGATGCTGGGGGAACATTGCACTGTAGACTGGGGTGGTTGTGTGGAAAATGAGAGGACGTGTTATCAAGCAGCACAGCAGAACATGGCCTTGATATAGAGACATTTTAATTTCATCCTGCCACAACTTGAGTTGTGGCTTTTTTTTTTTTTTTTACAATGTTAGCCTGTCAAATGTTTTCCTTTTTAATGTTCTAGTGATATGAACCAGTTGAAATTGAACTATTACATAGATAGTTCTCTTCAGTGACTCACTGTAATGCAGCCTTTATCCAGCCTTGAACTGTTTTTGGGTTATAGCCCCTCACAAAGTTGTTTTTGTGGGTAATTTGGATGTCACGTTCTCGAGCTGGGTTTTCCTCGGAAACAAGAGGAGCATCTTTAAAGCAGTAAATTGATGCAATGCATGCGATTCTATTTAGAAGATCTGATTTAAGATGACTGAGGGTTATCAAAGTTGTACTTTTTTTCCCAGTAAAATTTAAACAACCAAGTTACTGAAGCCAACGTCACTCTGGATAAGAGCGTCTGCTAAATAAAAAATAAAAAAAAAGTAAGTGTCTGAGTATGATCAAGGCTCCCACTAATGTAATCGTGTGATATTTTTTTTTCCTGACGTTATAGGGAATTCCTGCTTTTCTGCCTTGTCTCTATTTATTAATCATTGACCTTGACCAATCCCCCAAACCAATAGACTAGTGTTCCTGATGTTCTATGTTGTCCTGATCACAACCTTGAATCTTGTGTTATGTTGTGTTCTCTCCAGGTGCTGGGTCGGTGCTTCCTGACGGTGATGCAGGTGCACTTCCAGTTCCTATCCCAGGCCCTGCAGAAGGTGCAGCCTGTGGCCCAGTCGTGCCTGGCGGAGGCCCTCGCCCAGGCCCAGGAGCGACGTAGCAATGTCCGCTCCCAGAGCTCCTGCCCTGGGCCCCTCACGGAGCTGGAGGAGGCCTCACGATCATGGAAGGGTGCAGCCGAGGTATTTGGACATGGAGGCCAGGATGCCCCTAGGACTCTCCGAGGAGCTTCCTGGTCTGACTAGCTGGTGGAAATAGGCTGTGTTCAAAATGTGACAAGCTGACTGTTATAGATTCCTGTGAAATGAAATGCAGTCAGCTACCATTCCAGCCACAATTTCCTCCTATTTCCTGTTGAGAAGTTTGTATGTACAGTATATGAGCCTGTATTGCTAGTTTTCCCTCCTCCACTTTAAGCTAGGCCTACACATCCCCAAACAAACCCTAGCTAACTGAAATGGAGGCCATTTTGTGAGAGGAGCTAGCTGGCTAATCCCGTAGCTATTCACAGTCCCTCCGGCACATTCTGAGCTTTGTTCTGTACAGTGGAGCCAGAATGGAGAATAGTGAGTGGCCTGATTGATCTGTTAAGCCCTGGCATGTGGGGTGTTAGCCCTGGAGGGAACAGGGCTGGATATCCTGCTGGAATGTGCTGCTGCGATATGGCCGGGCTGGGCCAGGCCGGGCCTCACTGCACTGTTGGGCAGTTTTCATAGAGGGAGGCGGTCGGTCTCCCCCTTATAGAAGCAGTTATTCACAAATCTAGGCCCAACACGGTTCTGAAATGTACAATCTACCAGATGTGTGACCAAATCACTCACTATTATTTGAGTCACAAGCAAGTCTAAAGTCAAGGTCCGAGTCTCAAGTAGAGTCACAAGTAGAACGGGTCTACTATACATCTATACATGCAATGACTTGTTCAACTACAAATATGGCTGTTTGAGGCTGTTTGAGGAACCAGACAGCCCTTTTCATTATTTTGTCTACAACACACTTTGATTATGTAATAATTAATTGTAACAACAAATCCCAAATGCAAGCTTCATAAATAAATAATACATTTCAAGCAATTTTGACATACCAAAAGACCAGTTGGCCTATGCTAGTAATTAATGCTTGCAAAGTAAACAGTTCATATTCTTGATCACCAAACAATTTTTGCCGCTGGATATTTGGCAATCCGCTCTCCCTACAGTTTGACATTTGCACTGCACCCAATCCTATAGCTCTATAGCAAATCGTTAATCTGTTCGCTAGCTCATTGGTTCTCAAACGTTTTGACCCGCAACCCCCAAAAAGCAGTGCTTCAAAGCTCATGACCCCACATGCATACACAATTGCTGCGCCAATGTAGCCTGTCATTACAGCCATAAATGGTGATGCATTTTCAAAACGCAAGATACAGAAATAAACTGTGTTTTACACATTTGCATTTGTAGCTGAAGGTCATTAATGTTAGCAGCCAATCTCTGGAGTCCAGAACAAGCAGAATCATACTGCCTACCTGTATGCAGCGGAGGTTGCAGGATCTGTCTGCACCGCATGCTGTCACTTTGGAGGGCCGCCTGCCCCCAGAATGCTCGTTGCCAACTGGCTAGCCCTTTTCTTCCTCACAAATACCGTAATTAATTTGCCAGAATATGTTACATCTTCATCCCATAATATTGAAGGCAGTGCGACGTTACAGCTATCTTTAGACATATAGCCAGTAGCCACCCAAACTAGGCCTATCTGAAATATGAAAATGATCAATGAAAATCTCCAGGTAGCCTGTTATTGTTCTGGCAAAGATGCCTCCGTAGTAGATTTCTAAACTGTATTTTATATGGATAATACAAACATAGTCCTACTATGGTAGACTATATGTATTTTTCCACATTTAGTTTCACACTCGCGACCTGTCTTGACCAGTTTTCTGGTCCAATCAGAGCAGAGGGCTGAGTGGGCGTTTCACTAGTCAATATGTTGCATGTTCTTTTTGCAAGTCGGTGCTGAGGCTACTGTCTCTGGCTGCATGGAGAGTAATCCATATAGACTCTGTACCACAAAATGAGTGACAATTTTACAAAACCTGGCCAGATAATTTCAAGTCATCAGTCCCGAGTCTTGAGGCTCCAAGTCAAGTCTCAAGTCATCAAATTTGTGACTTGAGTCAGACTCGAGGCCAAGCCATGTGACTCGAGTCCACACCTCTGCAATTTACTATATACTTTTTACTTGGTGGTTAGTTACTCCTTTACATTGAAGTTGAAAATGTTAGCTAGCCAACACTGACAGATTTTCTCATGCATATTGTGCACCTTGCTGTAATGCAGATTAGCTGTACAGAGAAGATGCAGGGTGTGTAAGGGTTGTACTAGGGTATGTGATGCTGTGTTTAAACTGCTATGTGACCTGAGACTGTGCTGTGCTCCAGGCCACAGGACGTCTGAGGGAGAGGGGACGTGACGGCTGCCTGGCAGGCATCCAGGTCCAGCAGCTCTTCTGCTCCAACAACCCCAACATCCCTGATCACCATCTGAAGGAGCTCAACATGAAGATCGACAATGCCTTACAGGTAGATGGGGCTCCCCGCAGGACCACCACAGCCTTGGTCTATGTCTGAAATGTCACCCTATTCCCTAATATAGGCTTGTGCACTGCTTTTGACCAGAGCCTTATTCCTGGTCATTTTCCCTGTAAAGTGCAATACTTTTAATCAGGGCTCCATAGGGCTCTGGTCAAAAGGATTGCACTTTATATGGAATAGGTTGCCATTTCAGATGCAGCCTTGGACTTACTGGGTCAATAGTGCCCTACAGAACAAGGGCTGCTTCAAATCAATGTGTTGATGGCTTGGATATGAAAGGACTGGATGAAGCAATAGCTAGCCTGACCTACTTACATGTTGAGTTTATACAAATTATTTTCTCTTTTCTTTTTTCTTCCCCCGTCTCGCCAGGCTTATAAAGCAGCACTAGAAAGTATGGGCCACAGTGAATATGCACTGAAGGCTGGCTTTCACCTCAATCCCAAATCTGTGGAGGCAGCTTTACAGGTATGTTTACTCTAAGCACAGGCCGTATTACAGCTCATTAGGAACGGTAAAGCCTTGGATTATAGTGGCCGTGATAAGGGCATACCCTGTCTCTAACCTATTTGTACATCCTGTGTCTGCGCCTGTGTCTCTGTCTCTCTGTGTGTGTGTCTCTGTCTCTCTGTGTCTACTATGTAGGGTTGCTGCAGTGAGGCAGAGGCCCAGCAGGCTGGCAGGATGCAGACCATCTCCCAGCCCATTCAGTGTGAGCTGCCCACCATCCCTGTGCAGATTGGCTCCCACTTCCTCAAAGGAGTGTCCTTCAACGAGTCAGCGGCTGACAACCTCAAACTGAAAACGGTATGCCCTGGAGTCTGTTGAGGAGGACTTGACGTTACAGAATGTTCAGCGATTGCGTAGAACATATATGATTGTCTGTTATGTTAAATCGGGAGTCCTATCAGCTTGGGAGTCGTATTCAGCTCTATTCAGTACATTTCTATCTGCATCATTGTGGCTCGCTGTCATGCTGGTGCGCTGTCATCCTGGCGCTAGGCTACTGTGATGGGTGGTTTCCTACGTCTTTCATATTCTGACCTGGCTGACCAGAATGGGCCTCTGCTCTCTCTAGGAAATGAGAGCTGCTTAGAAGTTCATATCGTCCACTGATGAGTTATGTGTGCTGTGAGTCATGTATTTGGCAAGGCTTTAATGTTTTGACGTGGATGTCTTAACACTTATTCCATGATACATCTGATGCCTTGGGTCTGGTTAGGATCAGCATCTGCTTTGTTAGTTTACAGTGGGATTCTCCCTTAGTCTGTGGGACAAAAACTGACTTGTATGATAATTGCACTCACACTATCTGTCAGTTGTCTGACTCACCATTTACCAGATTCAGAAATAAACAGCACGTTCATCAGGACCCTTTAAACTAGAGAGCCTAGACACTTTAACAGGAGGAGACTTAGTCCCTGGACTTTTTAGTTGCTACTGTTTCCTGTTCTGGTGTACGTTAGTGTTTAGAAGAGATGAATTGGACCCACACCCTCACTATTGCTCCACCATACATTTATTTGGCAAAAGCATCAACAAAGTTTCAATCCAAAGTGGATCTTTGTCAGGTCCACATTAGTACCTTGCATCAGCAGCAGAGGTGTTGTGTTTTCACACTGGCCACCCTGTTTTGTATCCACAGCACACCATGTTGCAGCTCATTAAAGAGGCAGTAGGACAGAACGGAGTGACCCCCCGGGACGACTCCCCCGTCACTGAGGTCCTCAACCAGGTCTGCCCTTCCAGCTGGAGAATGGCCTGCAAGACCGCCGTCCAGTTACTGTTCGCTCAGGCAGGACTGGTGAGTACAAAGCACTTAAGATGTCAACAAGGGCAGCAAACTCACCCAGCTTAAAATACCTTTGTCTCATTAGATAACATAAACAGTTGTCTGGACTTAAATTAGCTGATGGATTGTTTTGCTTTAGCAGTAGGGCCATGTGGTTCAACCAACCTCACTTATTTTATGAAAAGGTAAAGGCATTTTTAATTTGATCGAGGTCCCAGATTCACTGTTACTCCACAGCCTCTGCTTAGTGAAGACTCTACAACTTGCAGTCTGGCCCAGAGCTATAAAGGAGTCTGTATTGTAACCTAGAGCCCATTGTTTGGGAGGTGTGTAATCGAGATGATGGGAATGTATGTTGGGTTCCTTTGAATAGCCAAGAGGTGTAAACAAACTCATTGTAGACACACAGTGAAGCCAACATTCCTGCAGCATCTGGGTAAAGGATGGGGTCATCTGGGTGGATCTGCAAACAGATCTCAGGCTGTTCACGTTGAAACGAGTCTGCCCAGCCAACAGTGAGAGAAAGCAGCAGTCCTCCACTACTCTACTTGATTTATTTTCTCAGTGTGTTCTGTAATATTTAGTGCGTCAGGCCTGGGGAGTGTTCCTATACACCCAACAGCAGCGCTGAGTATAAAACAAACCCTGGTTGTGGATGGGAGCTTTACATGAACTCCTTATCTAAGCTGTGAGCTCCGAAGAACAGACAGAGTGGGAGTCTCCATAGCGGCCTAAGAGAAGACCACCTCCTCTTAACATTACTTATAGAGCACCTCTGCCAGACAGTGAAAATGGCTTTGTTCTTTCTGGGCCATTCATTTTAGAGTGCTCAACAACTGAATTGGCCTCTTCTCCTCCTTTTTTTTTTTTTGGGGGGGGGGGGGGGGGGTCTATGATGCTGTATCTCTCTCTCACTCTCATTTTCTCTCTCTCTCTCTCTGCCTGTGACCTTGTTGTGAGTCAGGGACGGGGTGGGTGTGGCTGTATGTTTCTCTCACAGGATTGGACTCAGCCCTCTGACAGCCCGGGGGTCCTGAGGATACACCTGCTCTATAAATAACAATAGGCTGACTTCCTGTGAGACAGGAAGGGTCCTCCCTCCCCATGACCCAGTTGCATTTGTCTAGAAAGTAGAGCCTCTTTCAAAGAACTACTGGAAAATATTGGGCTGGCTAGCTGGAAGCGTGGATATTTGGTGCTGCCGTTGACATTTATTTTCAACTTTTTAATGAGTTTGAATCACCCAAAGTAGCTTACATTGTCTTTGCCCAAATACTCAGACTTATGGGCAGAGGTAGTGGCATATCTTATTTAATTATATCCATTTTGTATTTTAGATGGAGGAGGAGACGGATGTGTTATTGTGGAAAGAAATTGGTACTCTATCTGCATTGCTTACAGTCAGTCAGGATAAAAAGGGGCAATATAATCCCTTAGAGTTGCTTTGCTCAAGCATAACTGGCAGTGAGGAAATACATTCTATTAGAAGCTGTGCTGATGCAGCTCTCTGAATGACTGTGTGCATGTGTGGACAGGTGGTTGTTGACACTGCTCAGATCGAGAACAAGGAAGCCTATGCTCCACAGATTGCTCTGGAGGGCTCCAGAGTTGTGGTACAAGTCCCCTCCACATGGTGAGTAGGATTATTCATAATTGTCTCTTCTGCCCTCTGGAAAAACAAAATCTGCTTGCTTTACTGGTCAAAAAAAGAATTGGGCAAATCAATAAATGTAATTGCTTTACAGTTCTGTTTTATCTTAGCAAGGGAATTCCAAGTATTCAGAACCCTTAGACATACAATTGGCTAAATAAGCAAACTACATACTTTTTATCCACATAAGCCAACACTGGACTCAATCAACTATCACATTTGGACAGTAAAGTGAAGCATTAACAGACCTTCTATAAATGTATTTTTATTATGTTGGACATGCCAGTCATGCTGTGTCCTGACTGTCCTGTGTGTAGGTGCCTGAAAGAGGACCCAGCCACCATGTCTCTGTTGCAGCGGAGTCTGGACCCAGAGAAGACCCTAGGCCTGGTGGACGTGCTATATACTGCCGTCTTTGACATCAATAGGTGGAAGGAGTGCAAGTGGGTGGATGTGTATTACCTAAGGCATTTTCACGTTTGCCTTTTTAATTCCTAGAAAGAATCAACATGCTGTGTGTTCACATTGGTTGACAGAGGTAGCCCTCATTCTCAAGCTTAAGTTTACGTTTGCCCTGAAAGAAAATCTTAAAAGCTAGCTAGCTATTGGAATTTTCCATGCCATTGAATGCTTGTATATCTTCTCCCTCCACAGAGAACAGGCCTTGCCCACCATTCAGATGCAGTTACAGCGGGAGAGCCCTGACTACGGGATGCAGGCAGACCTGCCTCCTGGAAATGGCTCCAAAGCCTCCAGTGGCCTGCCCAAAACTATCTCCAAGCTAACTTCCAAGTTCACCAAGAAGGCCTCTTCCAGCTCTGTGTCCAGTGGTGGTGGGGGCAGCTACTCCATCCCCAGCACCCCGTCCCATAGCATGCTCTCCTCTAGCAGCAGCTCTGAAGACAAGCAGTTTAAGAGCCTGGGCCACGCAGTAGACGGGAGACTGCAGAGTATCTTACAGCTGGGCAACTTGTCCAGCAACCCCGACCCCACTCAGCCCCAGAACGGTTCTGTGTGTGACGACCAGGGCATGAACCTCCCCACGGACCAGGAGATGCAGGACGTCATTGACTTTCTCTCAGGTTTCAACATGGGCAAGTCCCAGCAAGCCTCCCCACTGGTCAAAAGGAGGAACTCCGTGGCATCTGCCAACACTGCCGAGCTGAAGCCCCCGAGCGGAGCCGCTGACCGAACCCCGACCTCCCAGGCTGTCTCCCACAGTTCACTGCAGCCCCCTACACAGAGCATACCCCAGCATCAGCAGCCAGTGCAGAAGCAACCGCAGCAACAACAACAACAACAACAACAACAGCAACAACAACAACAGCAGCAACAACAACAGCAGCAGCAGCAGCAACAACAACACAGCAACAGCCACCACCACCACAGCAGCCCTCCCAGCAGGCACTGCAGTACTACCAACACCTCCTCCAGCCTATTGGTCAGCAGCATGCTCCACCTCAGCTGCCCTCCCAACAGCCTCCACCCCAGGCTCTTCTCCAGCAGAGAGTGCCAAGCAAGTGGCTGAGTGGTTCCAGCCAGCAGCAGCCTCCTCCCCAGGGCCCCCCTCCCCCAGCAGGGCTCTCCCCCCTGGGGCCCATTGGCCAGTGGGGCTCACCTGGCCTCCCGGACCTGAGCTCGGATCTGTACAGCCTGGGGCTGGTCAGCACCTACATGGACAGTGTCATGTCTGAGATGCTGGGGCAGAAGCCACAAGGTCCCCGCAACAACACCTGGCCCAACAGGGACCAGAACGAGGGGGTGTTTGGGGTGCTGGGAGACACCTTGCCCTTTGACCCCGCAGGTGAGTCATTTTTCTCCCTTACATCCACAAACCCAGATAACACTCTGGGTTCCTCTGACTAATGTGGGTGTTCAGTAGGGAGTGAACATTTAGGAACAGAGTGAAACGGGGAGGTACTATGGTGTGCCTCACTGAACATAACCTAGGTGGTTGATAATAACACTTTAGAGCAGTGTGTGACTTGCATATTGTCATGTTGAAGGATGCAGTCGACTAGAAAGGCTCCATATAATAGCAATGAAGGCTGGCTCCTTCCTGCACATAGTTGGTCAAAGTGTAGCCAGGTTGAGATCCAGTGTCTTGACCTCCGATAAAGAAAAGAGGCCTCCTTTGGGACGGTGTGTTATTCCCCCTCCCTGCCCGTTATCAGTAGGGTGTCTGGGTTGTGGTGGTGTGAGAGAGGCAGGCAGCTCACAGCCTCCAGGGATTCCATGGTAGGAGAGAACTGTGTCAGCAGTGGGGCCTGGAGCTGTGTTGACTGGGCTGTTTCATTACAAAGACTGAGAAGGAAAAAGGAGACACTCCTGTTTCCTGTTTAGCACTGCAGTCATTAGTCAGGTATTCATTATGCCTGGAAAGGACAGGTTGCTTTTGATTTTTCACAGGGTGTTGTGGTTTGGAGATGTGCTGCCATAAACACTTACGTAATCTCATTGTAACCATTAAAGCCATTTTGGGTGGTGATATTTAGCTGACATAAAAAGAGCTTGTCAGTGCAGTAATTTATGATGTAGTTTGTCTGTGATTTCCATATGATTTCCTGAATGAATAGCGGTCATTATCCAATGCAACCTGAGGAGGAAGTGAAAAAGCTTCATAGCCAGCTCTTCCATTCAGATACATTTTCAAAAACTCTGAACTACAGGACCTTACTAGCATCTCTCCAAATGCACTGTAAATGTAGGTTGTTGTGTCTGACCGTGAGCAGCCCCCCCCCCCAGCGGTTCTGATTTGTAATTTGACATTTAATGCTGAATTTACAATGTCAGTCGCTGTTTTTACAGTGCAGCAGAGCGGAGGCCATTGTGTTCAGCTGACTTACAGCTATTGTGCTTTTTCTGCTATGGTAGACAGTCTAGCTGAATGGATTGAGCTGTGGGGTGCAAACACACAGAGAGAAAAGCTGAGGATGTCAGAAACTGAACTGTGTTTTCTCCCTTTCATATGCAGTTGGCTCTGACCCTGAGTTTGCGCGTTACGTTGCCGGAGTCAGCCAGGCCATGCAGCAGAAACGGCAGGTGCAGCACATCCGTCGCCCCAGCAACACCCGCAGCAACTGGCCCGTCCCTGATGAGCAGCACAGGACCTGGTCCCACCCAGAGTACTACAGCGAGGGGTACATTCACCAATCACAATCAACACCTAACATCTCATTGATACACACACCTCTGTATATGGCACAGGGCTCTATATAGTCCGCACAGAGTACTACAGGGTACAATCATTCAAGGCTCTATACACCACTCTATCTCACATGACACATGCCTACTAGTACAATTTATTCACACATCTCTTTGTATATGACATCTCTCTATATAATTATGCCAATCAATCTTACATGCCTCTTAGTGATGTTCGAGTTGTGGAATGGTAAGAACAAGATGTTCATAGTGTTTCAAGTAGTTCTAACTGAGAATGCCACTATCACTTTAACTCTACCCACATGTACATATTACTTCAACTACCTCAACTAGCCGGTGCCCCCGCACATTGACTCTGCACCGGTACCCCCCTGTATATATAGCCTCCCTACTGTTATTTTATTTTACTTCTGCTCTTTTTTTTCTCAACACTTTTTTTGTTGTTGTTTTATTTTTACTTTTTTTGTTAAAAATAAATGCACTGTTGGTTAAGGGCTGTAAGTAAGCATTTCACTGTAATGTCTGCACCTGTTCTATTCGGCGCATGTGACCAATAAAATTTGATTTGATTTGATGTGAAACAGGGAGGCGGTCAACAGCAGCTGGTCAGCCAATCAGGGAGACTCTGCCAGCTCCAGTGATGAGACGTCCTCAGCCAATGGTGACAGCTTGTTCTCCATGTTCTCTGGGCCTGACCTTGTTGCAGCTGTCAAACAAAAGGTACAACTGAGTCACCATGTAGTAAATGTACACCATAGTGTATTACTGTTCTTTTGTTTTCCTTCCAACCTGTTTTGTTATTCGTGATGTGAACTATTGACAGTGTGCTGTAGAGCTTCATGTCTCCTCTTCTGCCTGTAGAAAACACAGCTGTGGCGAGCAGGAGGTGTGTACCTTGCCCTCTCCTCCCCTCCATCACATGGGAGATGATAATAACCAGGTAAGGAAAGTGTGTGTACTTAGGAGTCTGTGTGCAGTACATGAATTGGGTCAGAGAATTGAAGCCTCTATCATTCACTGTATCTATATATATGATTATCTTTTATATTGTATCCCTTTAAATGTTAACATTTACCCCCTTTTAGTTTGGGGGTTTTTGCAAAAGATCTTGTATTGATCAACTCCCATTTCCATCCATTCTACTCCACAGGACAGCAAAACTAAAACTTGGCCGCCGAAGGCCCCATGGCAGCACTCCGCTCACACTCAACACAACACCATGCCCAATCCAAGCTCTTCCTTGTACCAGATGAACATCCCTTCCAGCCAATGGAGTGATTCGATGCAGATGTTGCAGTCTCCGGTGTGGTCCACTGCCAGTGACTGCCCTCCCTCCACCGGGATCTCCTCTGGCTTCTCTCCCTACACCCAGCAGCAACAGCAGCAGCAGCATCAGCATCAGCAACAACAGCACAAACCCATCAGCAAGGGATTTAAATCCTTCCCCATCAAACATGAGCACAGGCCCTCCTACCTTCACCAATACTGATACTGATACAGACCAAACAAATGAGTCCATTGGCATGCTAGAATACCTGTAGCTGTATTTCTGAAGCAAGTTCCGCTGCGACCATTAGTAATGTTGCCCTTTTGGAATAACAATTCAATTGAAAACGGCAGTCTCTCTCTCAAAGTATGTGTTTTAAGGCAAAATTGCATTGTTCATACTGGCTTAACATTTTGTATGTATTTTTCCATTTCAAAAGCCCCCAATTTGAAAAAGAGACATTCTAAACTGCCATGTAAAAGCTGTAAGCAGCATGTCATGCTGGCAGCAGTTAGTCTGCCTGATAAAGTTTATACTGTGTTTCCTCACAAGAGCTTGAGACATGCACGGCCATCATCCACTTTTCTTCTGCAGCTGAAAATGTATAAGGGATACGATTTTAGGGGGTGGGCTCTAAATGAGACACTCCAGTTTTCCCCATAATTATATACTGTCTACATAGCTGTAACTGCCAAATCTCATGTAAGTTGACGACTCGGACAACAGCTAACATCTACTGTTCCATAGCTTGTAAATTACTCAAGTTGAAATATAAATAATTTACTTCTTTTTATTAAGAGGCTTTGAGCAGGCTCAGCATACATATAATCATTGCAGAGGTGTAATTGAAAAGAATATACTACTTTTTCAACAACTGACAGTTAAAAATATATAGCAGTAACTATGTGCCATGTTGGTATTAATAGCACTTGCATAATATTATTTTCCAACCAAAGCGTTCTTCAGAAGATAAATGGTGCTGAAGAGATAAGTCAGATTATTATATTGATCATTAATAAAGTTACGAGCCCTAGTGTAAGAGCATTAGGGAAAGTCTTTATGATCAAAAAGCGCATTTATTTCCTTTTCTTTCCCTGATTGGCAGTTCGCTTCTGAATGACACTAACTCATAAACCTAATGTTTGTTCCTTTAAAATACAATATTTTCTTGTACAAATATTGACAGTATTAATCTTATTTTTGTATTTTCTTACATGTTATACCATTATATGTTAGTATAATATAGGCATATTACATAACACCATCTTTCCCCCCCCAAGATGTGAAGGCACATTATTTCTTTAGTACAGAGTTTAACTACACCATATATCTATAAAGGTTACCAAATCTGCCATTATAAACACTAAAACATTGTGAGTAGGGTATTTTGGAGCCCATGTTTCTTCAGTTTCTATGGCTATGGGCTGTATTTAAATGCCCAGAATGTTAACTTTTTGTGATGTTTGCGGATGCCAATGTTGCCTGTATTTATGAAATGACACCATGTTTTCTGAAAACTAACATACTTACCATGTTTACAGAGATTCATTTAGCTGTATATACATATAAATATATCTTTTTATAGTTCTGTGCTTTGCACAATCAAAATATAGGGTTTGTTGCTTTGTCTGTGTTATTTCCCAAACTTTTGCTGCCTTTTTTTTTTTTTTTTTTACATCTTTAAAGACCTTGGACTGTAACCCTTAGCATTTTTCAGCTGTGTCAAAATGGTTTACTAGTGGCATCTACAAAAAAAAATAGAAAATGTTACCCTGACAGAAGATATGAAGGGGGACTGCTTGGCTTATGTTGCTTATTGTTCTCTTGAGCTGGCAACTGAATCTTCCCAAGTGTACCAGCAATGCAAAAAAATAAAATAAATGACTAGCAATTGAATGTTATTTTCTATATGACATGACTTTATGCTGTCACATATATTACAGTATGATCCATTTCTTTGAGGGGTGACAGGCTGCCTAGTAGGCTGTTGTACATCCAGTTTTCTAGCTTCCTCTAGTGGTGTCTGGTTTTAACTGGCAGGCTTGAAGTCAGAACTTGGCTGTAACATGTTTTACCTTTGGCTAAGGCTTGAAGTTCAGTGGACCTTTAAGTTAAATCCTTTGTCAGTAATATAATAATACTAGCCATTGTCCAAGGCTATCCCTAGTAGTGTGCTTCAAACTGAACAATTCTGGAACCTAACGCTGGTGGTGACTTGTTCACGAACTGACCTGTTGGGAGTAATGATGCTGATGATAATATTCTGCGAAAGCTCAGTATGCCCAAACTCAATGATTAAATGCACCTCATGTTACTTTACAGCAGTAGGTAAGGAAAGCAAACTTTATATTTTTTAATTGAAAAGAATGAAAGATGTGAATCAGTTCAGAGGAAATGATTGGCCATTTTGTGTGATTGCTTTATGTCCATTCTGGGCTGTCAATGTTGGTGCCTCCGTTGGGGACCTGAAAATTTGAATTCAGAGTCAATTTGCAACCCAACACCAGTTAACATCGACAAACAATTGAAACAACGGTCAAGCAATGAATGCAGCTGGTTGCATTTTCATTGAGTGACAAAACATACGTTTGTGGTTGGAGCCAGGTTTGGCTGGCGTCTGCTATGGTTCCCAGGTAAACAATGTTGCGGTGCAAGATCTGTTGATATCTGGGGAGAAACGTTTAATACAGTATGGTAGTTAAAACAACATGTCTGTGACTACGGCAGGATTTTGTTCCAGCCCTACCATAATTGATTATTCATCAGGTACTTCAAATTGTATTTGTCACATGGGCCGAATGCTTACAAGCCCTTAACCAACAATGTAGTTAAGAAAAATAGTTAAAGTTTAAAAAGTTACACAATAAAACAACGTGGCTATATATACAGGGGGTACCGAGTCAATGTGCGGGGGTACAGGTTAGTCGAGGTATTTTAGATAATATGTACATGTAGGTAGCGGTAAAGTGACTATGCATAGACAAAAAGTCCGGGTAGCCATTTGATTAGCTGAATCAGGTGTGTTCGTATAGAGCTGGTTTAAAACCCTGCAAAACCAATAGTTCCAGGAGAAGGGTTGACATCACCTGCCCTGGGGAAATTACAAAAAGATATGAAGTTGAACTTACTGTACACATTCCGTTGCTCGTCCTTTTTGCATGTACTCTGTGATGCACCTTACCAGCTGGTCATTTTCGTCCAGCAACTGAAAGTTGGAAAATATGAAAACTGTTCACACAGCTGGCAACTTGTTTACCGAAGCTACCACATATGATAATATGTAGGCCAAATAGCAAACCAGCTGTACAGCTAGCTAATTAGCTTAGCCATAAACATAGCGAGCTAGACAAAGTTGTAAACATTCGAGAACGCAAGCTAACATTCTAGCTAGCTAAAAATGCTACATAGGATTACCATAACCAAACTGGTGGATAGCTAACATTACTTACTCTTTGGATGGTTTCTTGGTTGATCTGAGCTTTTCCTCTTTGTCTTTTCGGTACAAAGACAACAGACATTTTGAGTTACATTGAATGACAAACGTTAGCCAGTGGCTGTGACTACGAGTGAGCTAACATTAGCTAACTAGAGGAAATCCACCATCTTTGCTAGTACTGCATGGGATTTTCGGTCGTCACTAGTTACCACAGCCACAAAGTTACAAACCACGCCCATTCCGACAATGTATCTTCTTAACCATCTCTTATCCAGAGCGACTTACAGTTAGTGAGTGCATACATTATTTTTCATACTGGCCCCCCGTGGGAAACAAACCCACAACCCTGGCGTTGCAAACGCCATGCTCTACCAACTGAGCTGCATCCCTGCCTGCCTGCCTGCCATTCCCTCCCCTACCCTGGACGACGCTGGGCCAATTGTGCGCCGCCCCATGGGTCTCCCGGTCGCGGCCGGCTACGACAGAGCCTGGAACCACACTGCTAACCTTATGCCTAACCCGAACCTTAAATTATGACCCAAAAGTAAATTTTTGTTTTAATGAATTTTTACGATATAGCCATCTTGACTTTGTGGCTGTCGAAAATGTGCACGTTCAATCCATAGTCCCTTGTTCTTACCCCATCCGCGTTTACTGATATTGAATCCTGCTAAACTGTGGATCGGCTTATTGATGCTTCCGCTATATCGCTTTCACCTCCCCAGTTGTTTTGGACAGGCTCAAACACGCAGCAAAACTTCACACACTGGATTAGCCGGCTGAGGATGTGGCGGTTCTTGCTAATGTCGTAGTAAATATATTTGTTATAGTGAATATGGAATATGATATGTTGAGTAAAATGTTGTGCTAAGATCTATTTAGGTCAGGAGCTGGTTATAAGTTCTGTTCCTATCCAATAACAATGGACAAAAGGGTCCTATCTTGTCAGCCTTGTCAGCAGGTGGCCAAGGACAACACCCACGCCATAGGCCTCTCAGTTCTTCCAACTCACGAGTTCTTGCTCTGAGGACACACACACACACACACACAAACACACACACACATCATCACTGTTAAACACACACACACACACACACACACACATCATCACTGTTAAACACACACACACACACAAAAATCCCCTCTCTTAGGCTGAACATTTGAAGACAGAGAACCCGACTCAGAGCCAATGCAACAGTGACAGTAGCCTGGAGGGGATCTCGCCCAACTCATCAGGACCAATCAGAAGATCAGAACTACTAGATTCAACCTACTTCATTTATTGCATAAAATGTCAGCACACAATGTTTCGGGGCTCTCTTCAGATAATAATAATAATAATAATAATATGCCATTTAGCAGACGCTTTTATCCAAAGCGACTTACAGTCATGCGTGCATACATTTTTGTGTATGGGTGGTCCCGGGGATCGAACCCACTACCTTGGCGTTACAAGCGCCGTGCTCTACCAGCTGAGCTACAGAAAGTGGATACTCATGGATGCGCATCGCAATTGTAAAATGTCAACACAATTGGAGACACCACGTCATTTTTGGAGACATGTTATTGACAGTAAACTATTGTAGATGCGACTGCTAACTAAATAAAACATTTTAGCTGGCTAGTTAATCATCTTAGCTAAATGTGGGGCAAACAATTCAGTTATTTACCGTTAATTTGAGGGATTGGGGTGAAAGAAATCGAGTTACATAGTGATACTTTACGATATACTGTATTGACAATATCGCAATATTTTAGCGCTAGTTGGCTGTACCTGCACCAAAACACCATTATTGTTCCTTCATAGCTTGTTCTCAATCTTTTCACATTGGGAGCCAATTTGTTTTCAGCACTTTTATTTCCATGACTGATCAAAACTCGTTCTCATGGCTTTCTGATCCCTCTGCAACAGACATATGGTGCGCAATAAAATCACAGTATCGAATCGCAATACGTATAGAATCATGAGACTCGCAATGCTGATGCATATATCTTATCGTGAGGTTCCTGGCAATTCCCAGCCCAAGTTCATTTGCCACAACAAATCTCTTCGCTAGCAAACGCGATGTCTTCTCCAAAACGGCAATGTGTCTCCAGCAATGTTTACTTTTTTGACGTTCTATGGCATCTCCACTTTCCAAGCATATATGACCACATGTAATATTTTGGTAAGTGATGCAAATAGTGAACTATGTAGGGCCAGGATGTAAAATATATGTAGCTGCAGCAATTTCTCTTATCTGATATGGTGAGTAATGGGGCTTAATTTATAGCTCCCTAAGAGTTTGACGAACGGGTCCGTGCACGCGATTCCAGATATCTTTACCTCTGAATAAACTGCCTTTATTATACCATATCCACCCTGTCCAAAGTCTCTACTTGGTCTCAGTTCTCCAGTAAACTTGTGATTATCAACACTAACCTCATCGTTGTGGCGGCGGACAGCTAGCCTGTATCCCTCATCAAGTTGAGTGGCAATGTTATTTTTCCGTTCGTACCAATTTTTGGAAAATCCTCGGGTGTAGGACTTTCCGCCTTTAGTAGAAACCTGTTGAATTATTAAATTTGGTCTGGGAGGTCCTAATTGTTTCGTTGCCAATTTATCTTCATTTGTTCGCCGACAAAAAGGAACTTATTTCAAAGACACAATCCGCTCTTTTCTCAGTTACGTTCATGGTTACGTTACGTTACGTATGACGAAAGCGCGTAAGTGCAAGCCCTCAGACACCCATAGAGATTGTATTGAGAGTAGGACGAGAAGTATCTAGGGAGCGAAGTGAAAAAACGGTTGTAAACAAACTACTGAAACGTAAGAAAAACTCAACCCAAGGCTTTCCACATAATCATGTCTATAAAAATATAACTCAAATAGATTTCCAAACTACATGTACATGTGTTCCCCCTTCTCTAGAAAAGACCATAAACATATTTAATATATAGAAGTTAGAGCCCTAAAGAGTAATGATAAAACATGGACATACACACACACAAATGCTATGAGCTTGAAGGTTTGCTAGAAGGCAATAATTACATTTCTCAAAAAATCTGGAAAACATGTTAACTGAGTAGTGTACAACTAGTGTTATATCACTTGCAGTGTCCACAATTCTTGGAAGACAACCCTTGATTGACAATATAATAAAAACAAGGAGATGGCTATTGAACAATTGTTTATTTTTATCTTGAGTAAAAACCTGTCTGCAGAGGGCAGCCCACTTGAAGTACACCATGCTGTTCAACTGCTTTATTTAGAAACAATATCTGGCTTTATTATTCCAGAAGTCAGAAGGAGTAACTAATGTAATCAAAACTTAACAGCAATATGTAGGTAATATGTACTGTTTGAAATCTCAAATGAGCTCTGGACCTTACACCAAATGTGGCTATTGCAACTGCCCAGGCTCCTGTGTATAATCCTTGTTCAGTCACTGTTTTGTGTTTTATGACAAGGCAAGGCTGCCATAACCTCGTACAAACCATCCTGATCTCACAGGGCTAAGGCTGCCATACATTGCTCTGTATTATCAATCTGTACAACTATTCAGTAAAAATGCACATTTATGAACTACAGGATATATTGGCCTAGCTGCCAACATTTTGTATGATCTAGATCAGGTTTATCTTGTAGTGTTTTCAAATAGTCAAATAGTACATCTTACATATTGTCATCATACTGTAGGTCAATAGAGAGAAATATAAATACATATCCCCTCCTTCTAGCACTCCCGAACATAGTGACAAAAAGTGAGAACATCAAACAATCCACCCCATTCTCCGCTGGCCTCAACATCCAGTTCACATCCCTTTATCTTAGGTGTGATTATATGGACAATCCTCCAAACTGCTAGTGCTGGACAATAGACATAGCTCAATAGACTTCCCCAAGCATAGGGAAAGGGACAAACATAGCACGCTTAGGGCACCGATGCGGTTTATTACAAATGCTGGAATTTGATCACTAGGAATTCTTCCAGAAGCTTAGTAGATTGGTTAAGGTCTGGAGTAACTTCACTACTTTTCTTTTATCTAACTTTTTCCAACAAGTTAATTAATTTTGTTTCCTTCAACATCATGTAAACTTAGTGGTTGAACTTAAACAAAATAAATCTAAAAACATATACCCAAATCTAGCTGTGCAGAATATTATCTCTGAAGATTTTCCCCAAGTTATACAGCCCTTACTCTCCCCCAACATCTTTTGTCACGTCAACGAATAGACGGGCAGTACTCAATTTCTCTTTTCAGGACAAGCTTGGATGAGAATCACTTCTGTGCCAGGCTACTACGCTGTCCATACAGCTGGTGAACGAGACTTATTCCCGGGAAGTTGCATTAGTGGGACTGAAAAACAAAAACACCAGCATCATTATGTTTAGAGTTGAGCACACCAGATTGTTTTAGATGCAACACCATACAAGGGCAAGCATGCCAATAGACCATCAGGTAAAGCAAGACTGTCTGCTAGAAAAATGTCAACATACATCAGTAACACTTGAATTGCAAATTGTTTTGAAACAAACTGAGAAAAAGTAGTCCAATGCTCAGGTCCTATGGCATACTGGGGACAAGATACATCTGGTTACACAGCAGTCTAGGCCAGAGTCAAGCCATCTTCTCTTTCAGGGCAAACATTTAGAGGTCAACAATTATTTAATTCCATAGACACTTGTTAAGCGGCTAGTTAAAACATGGCAGTTATTTCAATGCATATTCAAGCGCTGGGGAGATGGAGAAGGCTAGATAGCCATTTCTAATGACTATGATGCTCCAAGTTTAGCCATGATTGTTGCAGAAAAGCCTCCTTTGACTACATCGACTACACTAAAAGGGCAATAGTTACCAACACTACATTTAACAAAATTATGCAAGAGCAAATATGTGCAGCGCACCCCATCACTGAATCACAAAGACTGCAGTCCTTCCCAACATTACCTCTATTTGGCGACCAGCATTAGCGGGTGTTGGGAAACAACACTGGTCATTCTTAGGGGAAGAGAAAACTTCCCAACAGCTCTGAATCCCTGCATTCATATGCATTTCTAAAACCAGAAGTTAAGTGGCAACCACACAATATCTTTGGGGCAGAAATAACAGCGCGATGCACTAGAAATACATTCATTCAATATTCAGCAAGATTATAAAACAGAAATTATCCCGATAAGTGCAAATGCACCATAATCCAAAGTGTTTTCAGGATGACTGACCTACTCTGATCTTGTATAAATAGCTTATGTTAAAGGTCTGAACTGTCTACCTTCATTTGAAAGCAGGATCTCTACAACCAAAAACCAAAGTGAGACTATGACGTAAACCACTTATCTACTTGATGTACCCCAAGAACATTTACATTTGAGTCTTTTAGCAGGAACACTGAAACATGAGATTTCTCTGACTAAGAAACTTGGCAAAGTACAGCAGAACGTCAAAATACAGGATAAATGGCTACGGAGATATGTAGACTAGGAGAGAATATAAAAAACGAACTGTGACCCCGACAGGCTATGTAGGATTTTAGTGCTCCTAAGGTACATTACAGGATATATCCCAAAAATAAAGCTATTTTCAGTGATCAAAGTACTCACAGTATCAGCGGGCTTCTGCATACATCTTTACACATAACAGAACATTATCAAATACAATTTTAGTAAGAAAAGAACTCAAATAGATGCAAAAATACTGAATAATTCCACTGGAGTACGGTATTTACACAAGTTCTTGTCCCTCTGATTACTGTATAATATCAAACAACGCTCAAATTTTCAAAAGCACATTATATTCCTTTGTTGTATTTTTTTTGAAAAAGATAAATTGGTAAAGAGGCTGCATTCACACCCGTTGAAATCAAGCAGTCAACCCCAGTGCTGGTGGGAAATTTACAGAGTATGTCTTCATATTTCTGGACCATGAAGGGCTACAATTCTTGGTGGATCCGTCTCTCTAGTGCACTACGCGGCCACTTTGTTATCCTTCTGGAATAAAGCAAAACATGTTTAGACTTGTGCACACACATCCAGCATTTTATATCGAGACAGACTTGCATCATATTGAACTTAACTTGCATCATAAGTGTGATGTTGGGTTGCCTTGTCCTTTGTTGCAAGTGTGTGCCTATGTACATTTAACTTTTGAATAATAAAAATCACCAAAAATGTGTACATGTGGTGTAAACCAAATGGTATGGAATGATTTACCCTGTATTCATATTCAACGAACTCCCGGCCACCTCTGCTGCTTCCTCGAAATCCTCCCCTGAAGCCGGGAGGGGCCCCGCGGGGGGGTCCAAAGGAACCTCTGCTCATGGCACGCCCTCTGCCCCCGCGGAAGCCCATGCCGCCACGACTTCCTCTGAAGCCTCCTCGGCCTCGGTTGTGCCTCAGTGGGATGCCAAAGGTCTCCGAATTCATCCTCCTCTCCTCAGCCCAAGTCTGCCTCCTTGGGAATCCTGAACCTCCAGATCTCTCAGCTGCTTTCCTGTAAATACAAAATGAGACATTTAATGCCAAAGACTAACCTAATCTAACAGACATGCTTTGGATTTCCATTAGTATAAGACAATATCAATACCACAAAGCACATAAATAAAAATACAAAAATCGGTCAAGAGAGCAAAAATAAGGAACATGCCTTGTATCATCAGAAGAGATGTTGTCAAAGAAGGACTTAGTCTTGTCGTAGTAAACGTTGGCCACCACAGGTTCCTCTTCCTCAGCATTGCCTTCACTGTTCTGGGTCTCCACACCAGAATCTGCCTTCTCATCTCCATTAAGAGCCTTCTCTGGTTTATCAGGCTTGTCGTCTATGTTAGACAATTAAAAGGGGGTAAACCATTTTTTCTTCTTCATAAACTTGGATTAAGCTAAGAGGATAAAGAGTACACGAAACATTTTGACGCAAGTTCCAAATCAACAGTGTGGCAGCCTGGGATTTCAGGTAGGAACACAGGCTAGGCCATGACATTAATGCTGCGTGGAATTTGCTATAATAATTACAAGTAGTACCTTTCAGTTTGAGTTTGTTCTGAAACTCTTTTTCAATCTCCTCCTTGTTGAACTGAGCATTGGCAGTCTCAAAGTCAAAGTCTTGATCAAACTTCATGGGGCCGTCCCTGTGTGGGTTGAAGCGGCCTCTCCCACGGTGACCACCTCCACGACCACGGCGCTGAGGGGGAGGACCACCGGCTGGGAAGACAGGACAGCAGAGGAGTCAGACAACCAATAACATCAAAGCAGCGTTTAAATGATTGTTTGAATACGTCTAGATCTTGACAGAAAACATGGGTACATTAATACCAGTAAGGCAGTATACAAAACAGAAACTAGGGCGAGAGTCACAGGTTAACAAGTACACTGTTAGTTTCATGAGAACCAACTCACCACATTGACGGTTATTCCGGTTGTCGCCACCACCTTGCTCAGAATCTGTTCTGGGTATTTTCTGAACCTCAGGGCCTAAACAGCACAAAATAACAGATCAAACTAGCAATTATTTTGACATATCAGTCAAGTTATGAGTCTTCAAAATACAATATTCTAAACTAGAAAGCCATATGGCCAGGTGCTTCACTTAGCGACATAGCCGATCAAGCAATTGTTCTAAACAGGCAATGTAGACTAGTCTGTGTGACAGCATTGTATTGTGGACGTTCAGGCCAAGCCTGGCTACAGCCTCCCCTGTCAGCCTCACCCCTCCTCTGTTCCAGGATGTCTGGAGGCTTCTGGTTGCTCAGGGTAGTGATGGGCCTGGCTGGTGGGCCAGCTGGGCTCCTTTGTCCCACTGGTGCAGGTGCAGCATGGGCAGTGGTGGGGGCAGTCTGCACTGCCTGCTCCAGGAAAGGGCTTTTCCTCAGAGGGTCCAGCTGGGGACTGGTGTGACCTAGAAGACAAGTCAGGGGTTAGCCCAAGATGTACTGTTAAGGAGCCTACCATTACTCCTTAAGGTCCAAGGACCTTATGTGATATCTTCAAAGGTAGACTGGCTCTGGCAGCCAACACAGCCAAATACTCAATTTAAACGTGAATCGATTCTAAATATTTTTTACTTAAACACTTATTTTTCTTAAAACTGCATTGTTGGTTAAGGGCTTGTAAGTAAGTATTTCACTGTAAAGTCTACACCTGTTGTATTCGGCACATGTGACAAATCAAATGTGATCAATGTAACCTTTTGTTTAATAATTATTTCGATGATATGAAAGATAAGATCCTTATACTTCCAAAACCATACCGCAAGTGGTGTGTGTTAATGTTCAGACCGAGCGTTGGGGATCTTAACAAAACTCCCCCATACAGAAGACGCCTTCACTCAATAACTTATGTGTAATGTAATGGTACTGAGTCATGATCAATGGCTAGGCAGGGGTGTGATTATAATAATGCAAGAAGTTTAGTCCTCCACTGATGTTAACTGCAAGCAACATACCACATAGAACATAACATTTTATGATATTGAGAGGCAGATATGCTAAAGAATAAAATGATTAGTTCCAACAGCATTGCATTTCACACTGACAATACAAGAGCTTTCAAGATCATTCTTCATTTCAGACATCTCAGAGATTATAGAATGGCGAATCAACAAGATGAATGTACCAACCTCCACCGACAACTCCAAACTGCTGGGACACCTGGGGGCTGGGGTTAAACTGGCTGTAAAGGGGGACAGGCGCCCTGCTGCTAAAGGGTGCATATGAGCCCACAGACTGGAATGATGGGGGTGGAGCATTGGAGGATCCAATTGAGGACTGGGGAAGTAAAACAAAATGTTAGACACAACCACATACAGAACTATTACATATGTAAACAGAAAATAAACTTGGAAATGCTTACTTGAACAATGGCAGGGTCCTGAGGCAGGGAGCTGGTGGCTTTGGGTGGCTCGCAAACAGTCAGGTCCTTGATGTCACTGCCTCTGAAGATTATGTACTCGAAGACTTCATCCCGTGGTGGAATTGGCCTGTCAGTAGGGCGGTCCTCAGTGCCAAAGGAGCGGACTGTTGGGATAAACAAATGTCAGACAGAGACAAAATTACAACAGTGTGACTATCATTGATTGTCTGCCAGATCAATCACCATTCATTGTACATTCTAGTATTGACAAAATGGAAAGGCCGGGCAGGACGTAAACAAAGAGCATGCAAGTGAGCGCATGCACATACCAGTGCGAACAGGCAGCTAGCTGCCACTGGAGAAACAATAGAACTGGGTCCCTAGAGTTAGCAGTTAAATTGCACTTTCAAGCAAGGAAATTAAGGTCAACGTCGTTAGCTAGTTAGCTTGCCGATTTCCCATCACCCATAACTGCTAACGTTAGCTACCTAATCATGTAAGTTAGCAAACGTTCATTAACTAACTAGCTGAAATGATAACCCGGTCAGCTAAATAATGCAACAAAGCATGAATGAAACAGGCCAGAGCGTTTGCACTGAAACGGGCGAGATAAATTAGCTCGGCTAACAAGCCTGCCACACGCATGATTACGCATTCGACAAAAATATCTACTAGCTATGCTAACTAGCATTGCAAACAATTTGACAGTGACAGACTAAATACCTGCACCCCATTACTAGTAAAAAGTGAGGAGTTCTCAATTTATCGACTTATTTGATTGTAAGGTATACGTTTTAGCTTACCTTTGGCGAGAGCAACAGTCGAATTTTCGGTGTCAATGGTGTATAAAATTCCTTCATAGCGAATCTCGGCCTTCGAGATTAGGCTAATTTTACTCCCGATGTAAGGCGTCCCTCCACTCATACCGTCCTTCCTTTTTCTTTGAGTGTGGAAAATAAATATATATCTTCCAAAAGTATCTGGCAACTAGCTAGCTAGCTACTTTATTTTTGTCCTGTTTGTACACTTCTAACAAAGATTCTTGCCCGTTCGTTCTTCCACCAACTTGCTAGCACCACGACATGGCCGTTTTCATATGATGCCTTGTTGCCTCACCGCAGAGAATGGTGGGAAATCGTCTCTGTAAACAGTAGATATCGCGAGTTTTCACGGGATCATGCTACCTTTCAAAGATTACTGTTCTAAGGTTAGTTTTGTGTTTCTCTCCCTACTGGATACTTGCTGGGATTGGGAGAGGGCAAACTGATCCTAGATCTGAGACTGCCAACGATAGTTTATGTACATTTTTCATCGCTGCAACTGGACACCTTATCGCCCATCTCTCTGCTGAGTCCACTTTATGCATAAAAATACATAAAAAGACAAGTATTTCCAATCGTTTCTGTGGCAAGTGTGAAAATAAAATCTATATGACAACAAATAAAATATGTTTGGACCATAGGCTACTCTATATTTGATGTCCCCCCCACCCTAAAGCCTATTTCCATTGCCATAAAAAATGTGAGGTTTCTGAGTTTCTGTGAGAACTACCACTTTATTACGTGCTGAAATGTAACGTGCTGTCCTTACTACAGTATTGTGTTTTGTAATACATGATGTAAAAAATATTATTAATCAATGAAATGACAAATAATCATAAATATTGGCGCTTTGACGTCAGATTAATTCCCACAATGCCTAGTAACACGCATGCGCATTTCATTCATTTACAATTTTTAGACAGTGATCTATGATCAAAGATGGCGGGCACCTCCGACCCACTGGAAGATATGCTCTTTTCTGAGGTGGATGAAAAAGCAGTGAGCGATTTAGTGGGCTCTTTGGAGTCACAACTTGTCGGACAAAGCAATCCTGCAGATACTCAGTCGGAAAACAGAGGTGCTGGGTCTACAGTCCCTGCAAACCATCACTTAGGAAAAACGCTACCAGTCCAAGTGGGTACTACATTAGAACAGCAACAACAACATAAAGCTGGGATGCACCAGGAGATTAACTCTAAGGAAATTAGCTCAGAGAAAACTGTTACATCTTCTTCGATTAGTTCTATTCCGTCCTTAGAGGAAGCTTCCACCACTTCAGGGACCGGGGTAAACGCTACCACGAGCGGTTTGCAATCACATGGAACATCATCTATCACAACACTGCCTGCATCTGGTGGTATAGCAACTTATCCGCTTGTCAGCAGCCTCAGCACCACCACCAGCCGAGGTTCCGCTCTGGCTTCAGGTCAGACATCAACAGACATTGTCGATCATCCAAGAAAACGCATAACTGCATCGTTACGGAGTGCATCCGTGGGAATACAGAGTTTGAACGGTACCGGGAGGAGCGGTAACGTCAAGGAATATCCCCCCTGCCGCGGGAACCGATGCGTTGATTAAAAACGTTAGCACTGTGTCTAGCAGTGCAAGTGCAGCAAACTCAAGTCGGACGGTTGACGTTACATCTTGTGTAAATACGACAAATTTCACTTTATCTAGCTCCAGCATTTGCTCAACTCAATCAGCGATTCCCCTGGACAAGGGGACTCCTACTATTGCTTTGCAAAGACTACCAAGTCACATTGTAGCGAGCATCGCGCAGAATGGAAATGGCACTACCGTCTCGGCCTTGGTTAAACAAGGCGCGATAGGACCTATCACCTCTGCAGTAACTTCGCAAGTGAACCACAAAAAAGAGGGTTCTGAAGCGAAGTCGGACGCTCCCGTGCAGTCCAAAATAGTAATGTCCAGTCCGTCAAGTGTTGTCAATTCCGTAATAAACTCTGTTTCCTCTCCCTCTGCTGTTTTCAACCTAGCAGCGACTTCTACTGCAAGTCATGTCATGGCAAAGCCTGCTGTCAATGTTGGTGGACAAACTTTGACTACAACGGTTGGCATGGTAAGGCCAGCATCACCGGCTGTGGCCACAGCTACACAGCCTCTGCTTCAACCGGGAGTCCCAGCGGCTCAAAGGATTGTAGCCCCCCAACTGATTGTCAGACCCCTCCAACAACAACAAACAGACGACCATTCAACTGCCTCCTGGGTTTACCATCCCACCGGGTAAGGTGTTAGGAGGATGAATTGCTCTTCTCTTCAAATCAGAGAGAGGGAAAATCTGCTCAGATCAAAACAATGAAACTGGGCAGGTCTTTTTGAGAGCCCTGTGCTTTGTCATTACATCAATTTTGTACTTTAATGTAAAACATTACCTGGACATGTGATGTGTTCCTTCATCATTTCCCTGTTCACTTCCTGAAGATTCCCAAAGATGCAGCAGCATTCATTTGATAAACACCTGTCAATACAGATTAAATCTGTGCATTCTGTACAGATTAAAGGAGAAGTTGTTTTTAACAACCAAATCTCTATTTTCAATGTAAATGTCATGTTATAGAAGGTTCCAGTCACCTTTTTTTTTTTTTCACATGTTTGTGAGAAACTTACCCCAGACAGCAAATCACTTCTTCATCCTCCTTGTGTAGTATAGGGGCCCTGAAAAAACATGAACAAAGGGTCCAAAAACAAATGCGTCCTTTTAGAAATGGCAAAGCTCTCAGTATAGTGGTGCAGGTCTTTAGATGTTGAACATATGAAATGGTGTCATTCCAAACTTTATCCGCAACGTTATGTTCCATTTTGTTGCGACTCGAGTGTTCCATCTCTGTCCGTTCTACTGATAACCGCCAAAATAAAGGAAACATTTAATTAAATGAGGGATACAACGTATACTGAAAGCATGGGGTGCTTACACACAAGAAGTTCCAGACCCTTGTAGAATCTATGCCAAGGCACGTTGAAGCTGTTCTTGCGGCTTGTGGTGTCCCAACATGGTATTAAAATGCTTTATATTGGTGTTTCCTTTATTTAGGCAGTTACCTGTAGCAGAAGGCTACATGGAGAATGGAACAGCTGGATAGGGGAAACGTCTTGAGTCACGCAAAAGGGAATTCAACAATGTGTACAACATCTAAAGACCTGCATCACTATACTGAGAACTTTGCCGTTTTTAAAAGGACGTATTTGGGTGTTTTTGGAACCTTTCTTCATGTTTTTTCGGGGCCCACATCCTAAACAACAAGGATGAGGAAGTGATTTGCTGTTTGGTGTAAGTTTCTCAAAAACTAGTGAAATCACAAAAAAGGTGGACCCTATAACATTACATTTACATTAAAAAAATAGAGATTTGGTTGTAAAAAAACGTCTTTACATTTGTATTGATTTTAGGTTAATTCTGTATAATGTTGGAGACATACCTGAAATTGAATAAAGTTATTACTTGAATCATGACACCCATTATCAACACAACACAAATATCACAACCAAGACTGCATGTGAGCAAAATGTTCGCTGCTCAGTTGGTATGGTGACAAAAATGCCTACCGGTATACTGTATATAATATACAGTATATTTCAATGGCATTGACAATATGACAGAACACAGTACACAATGGCATGCATCATCCCAGTTCTAAGAAAGTTCCACAAATCTGCTTGATATCACCCAATCAAATGACTTTTCTCACATCACAAGCATGTGCATATTTTGCCAATGGGCAAGTTTAATGAAATGGCAATACATAAAAAAACACACCAGACATGATCTCCTCTATTGGTATTCATGTCTCAAAGTTGTTACTCTGAGCTGCATGAGGCACGTGAAAGAGCCACTCAAGTTCCTCTAGAAACAATATCAGTGTGGTGGCCCAGCAGACAGACAGATAGGTCTACTCATGCATTTTGTATGTGCTCATTCTTTCATGCTGCTCAAGAAACTTTGACTCAGTAGAGAAAATGGATTAGAGCTGGGACTTTTTTTTTTAAAAACACGAAAATTTTAGACACCGTCAATACCGATCACTTATCGCAGGCATTTTGCTGATATCGTACATTACAATAAGTAGCCTATACTAGAGAAATGTGGAGTTTGAAATGAAATAAGATTGCTAATATGGGTGGTTGTTAATGGGACAATTGATGGCTACAACCATCAAACTAGTAGTAGTAGTTTAAAGGATAATAAAACAAACTGGTGCACATTAATGTTATAAACTATCGTTCTATTTATCGTTATCACATCAATTCAGGCAATTTATCACAATATGGATTTTTGTCTCTCAAAGTTACACATTTAAAATAAACAAATAGCTGGATATGCATACCTCTGATATGATATACTCTGATTTGCAGAATCATTCAAACCTCAGTTAAATGAAGGAGAGAAGTTTCATGGAGTGCCGGGAACTCATGGCCCAGAACACATCACTGGCAATTTATGAGTTAATGACATTTTCTCAACCGTTAGACTATATTGCATCTCATCTCACCAATACATGCCTGAAGACAATCCACTGTTGCTTATGTGTTCAGTGTGGCACGTGATTCGGTCTCCATGTGTTTGGCAGCGCTAAATGAACAGTCTGAATAAATCCATGCTGTTTGCATTTAAAAACAATGAGCCAGTCGTGCTCTGATGATTTGAGGCTCACTTTTATGACTGAGATTGAGGTTGGGTCTAAAGGATTTACAGTGTTCTGATTGCCTGCTTCCAGAGGATTCAATTCAGGTTACCTGTTTATGAGTTGGAGTTGGCAAGTTAAAAGTTCAGCTGTTGTTTAGCAAGTTCACCTGATCTGTTTTTCTAACTCTGGGGTTTAAATGAGTAAGCACCTGTCTATGAGGCTGTTCAGACAGGCTCAGAACAGTGAAGGGGACAGAGCACATGCAACGTGCTGTTTAAGAGACTATTTGGTTATTTATGTTATTCAACCCTTATTTTACCAGGTAAGTTGACTGAGAACATATTCTCATTTACGGCAACAACCTGGGGAATAGTTACAGGGGAGAGGAGGGGGGATGATTAGGTCGACAGATGCATATCTGTATTCCCAGTCATGTGAAATCAATAAGTTAGAGCCTAATGAATTTAATGCAATTGACCGATTTCCTTATATGAACTGTAACGCAGTAAAATCTTTGACTTTTTTGCATGTTGCATTTATATTTGTGTTCAGTATAATAATATATTGTTGATGGTTACTTTGCTTAGTATGTGCTTTCTGATTAGTAGTAGGCTCATTGTATAATATAAAACTATATATATATATATTTGTATACTGTACTTTGTCGCCGGGTAGGAAATGTAGTAGTATACTGTGATTCATAATAGTAATTAAATCACTGGCAAAACAGGCCTTGTTTTAATTGCCATCATCGGGCCAGAGCATGCATCTTCCTCCTTGTTTAAAATGACATCATCGGGCCAGAGCATGCATCTTCCTCCTTGTTTAAAATGACATCATCAGGCCAGAGCATGTATCTTCCTCCTTGTTTAAGGAGTCCTCTGTAGCTCAATTGGTAGAGCACGGCGCTTGTAATGCCAGGGTAGTGGGTTCAATCCCCTGGACCACCCATACGTAAAAATGTATGCACACATGACTGTAAGTCGCTTTGGATAAAAGCGTCTGCTAAATGGCATATTATTATTATTATTATTATGATGGTATGAGGGCCAGATTGGCAATTTAGCCAGGATACTGGGGTTAACACCCCTACTCTTATGATAAGAGCCATGGGATCTTTACTGACCACAGAGGTGGCGTTTACACAGACAGCCTAATTCTGATATTTTGGTATGTTGACCAATCAGATCAGCTCTGAAAATAAATAATTGTATTTGTCACATGCTTCGTAAACAACAGGTGTAGACTAACAGTAAAATGCTTACGGGTCTTTTTCCAACAACAGAGTTAAAGATAAAACATTGAAATAGTGACACGAGGAATGAATACACAGTGAATACATTTTTAAAATAACGAGTAAAAATAGAATTGCTACTATATACAGGGAGTACCAATACCGATTTGATGTGCAGGGGTACGAGGGAGTTGAGGTACCTATTCAATGCCTTCAGAAACTATTCACACCCCTTGACTTATTCCACATTTTGTTGTGTTACAGCCTGAATTCAAATTGGATAAAAAAAAAACATCTCACCCATCTACACACAATACTCCATAATGACAAAGTGAATACATGTTTTTAGAAATTTTTGCAAATCTATTGAAAATGAAATACAGAAATATCTAATTTAAATACTTTGTAGAAGCACCTTTGCAGTGATTACAGCTGTGAGTCATTGCTAGACAACCATTTTCAGGTCTTACCATAGATTTTCAAGTTGATTTAAGTCAAATCTGTAACTCGGCCACTCGGGAACATTCATTGTCTTGTTAAGTAACTTCAGTGTAGATTTGGCATTGTGTTTTAGGTTAGTGTCCTGCTGAAAAGTGAATTCATCTTCCAGTGTCTGGTGGAAAGCAGACTGAACCAGGTTTGCCTCTAGGATTTTCCCTATGCTTAACTCCTTTCTGTTTATTTTTTTCCCCTGAAAAACTCCCCTGTCCTTAATGATTGCATGCATACCCATAACATGATGCAACCACCACTATGCTTGAAAATATGGAGAGTGGTACTCAGTAATGTGTTCTATTGGATTTGCCCCAAACATAACACTTTGTATTCAGGACAAAAAGTTCATTGCTTTGCCACATTTTTTGCAGTATTACTTTAGTGCCTTGTTGCAAACAGGATGAATGTTTTTGAATATTTGTATTATGTACATCAGAGGAGGCTGGTGGGAGGAGCTATATGAGGACGGGCTCATCCTAAAGACTGGATTGGAATTGATGGAACGGTATCAAACACATCAAACAAATGGAAACCACATGTTTGACTCTGTTCCATTTATTGAATTCTAGCCATTACAATGAGCCCATCCTCTTATAGCTCCTCCCACCAGCCTCCTCTGATGTACAGGTTTCCTTATTTTCAATCTGTCAATTAGGTTAGTATTGTGGAGTAACTACAATGTTGTTGATTCATCCTCAGTTTTCTCCTATCACAGCCATTCAACTTTGTAACTGTTTTAACGTCAGCTTTGGCCTCATGGTGAAATCCCTGAGCGGTTTCCTTCCTCTCTGGCAACTGAATTAGGAAGGAAGCCTGTATCTTTGTAGTGACTGGGTGTATTGATACACCATCCAAAGTGTAGTTAATAACTTCACCATGCTCAAAGGGATATTCAATGTCTGCTTTTTAAAACATCTTTACACATCTACCAATAGGTGACCTACTTTGCGAGGCATTGGAAATCCTCTCAGGTCTTTGTGGTTGAATCTGTGTTTGAAATGCACTGCTCGACTGCGGGACCTTACAGATAATTGTATGTGTGGGTACAGAGATGAGGTAGTCATAAAAAAATAATGTTAAAAACTATTATTGCACATAGAGTGAGTCCATGCAACTTATTATGTGACTTCTTAAGCACATTTTTACTCCTGAATTTATTTAGGCTTGCCATAACAAAGGGGTTGAATACTTATTGACTCAAGAAATTTCAGCTTTTCATTTTTAAATAGTTTGTAAACTTTTCAAAAAACATAATTCCACTTTGACATTATGGGGTATTGTGTGTAGGACAGTAACAAAAAATCTCAATTTAATCTACTGTATTTTAAATTCAGGCTGTAACATAACAAAATGTGGAAAAAGTCAAGGGGTGTGAATACTTTCTGAAGGCACTGAATATATAGCGAGGGATAAAGTGACTAGGCCGCAGGATATATAATAGACATTAGCAGCAGCGTATGTGGTGAGTGTGTGTGTGGCGTCAGTATGCGTGTGTGGACATGTTATGTGTGTGTGGGCGTAATTATGTAGTGTATGTGTGTGTTGGGGTGTCAGTGTAAGTACAGTATGTATGAGTGTGTGGGAAGAGTCCAGTGTGTGTGCATAGAGTGCAAGAGAGTTAGTGCAAAAAGGGTCAATGCAGATAGTCCAGGTAGCCATTTGATTAGCTGTTTAGCAGACTTATGGCTTGGGAGTAGAAGCTGTTCAGGGTCCTGTAGTTTCCAGACCTGGCGCATTGGTACTGCTTGCTGTGCGGTACTGTAGCAGAGAGAACAGTCTATGGCTTAGGTGGCTGAAATCTTTGAAACATTTTTGGGCCTTCCTCTGACAACGCCTGGTATAGAGGTCCTGGATGGCAGCTCGCCCCCAGTGATGTACAGGGCCTTACTCACCACCCTCTGTAGCGCCTTGCGGTCAGGTGCCTTGCAGTTGCCGTACCAAGCAGTGAGGCAGTCAGTCAAGATGCTCTCAATGGTGTATCTGTATAACTTTTTGAGGATCTGAGGACCCATGCCAAATCTTTTCAGCCTCCTGAGGGGGAAGAGGTGCTGTCGTGCCCTCTTCACAACTGCATGGGTGTGGACCATGTTCATTCTTTAGAGCAGGATTTCCCAAAGTCGGTCCTGGTCCCAAATCACTGCCCTGGGGCATTGGGATCTTTTTTTAGATCAGAGGAAAGTGTGCCTCCTACCATGTTCATTCTTTAGAGCAGGATTTCCCAAAGTCGGTCCTGGTCCCAAATCACTGCCCTGGGGCATTGGGATCTTTTTTTAGATCAGAGGAAAGTGTGCCTCCTACTGGCCCTCCATCACTATCTGGTCTCTCATTCAGGGACTGACCAGGACCAACCCTGCTCAGCTTCAGAGGCAAACCAGCAGTAAGCTGCAGGGTGGTATGCTGCTGGTTCAGATGCTCCTCCGCAGAGTGCACGAGGCTACTTTCTGTGTGCACATAGATCTACACATACTCTTAAGTCACATCAGGTCTACTTGTGTCTGGACATTACTCTTATAGCATATCCATTAGCCTACCCAAAATGTCCAGTGATTAAAGTAGCTTTTGTGTGTTAGTGAGAAAATGTGTAGTATGATATAGTTACATTTTCTCTGAGTTAAGCTAGAGGAGGCTTATGGAAATCTGTTTGAGGCGTTTATGTTCAGTAACAGGTACACTGTTTAATAAAAGCTCTATTATTTCTCGTTCTGTTTGATGCTGATGAAAATGGCATGTACTGCTCTCATGGGCAGATTGAACATGACATCAGAATTTAGACTACTGTTTCGTAAATTCAACGTGATCTCCTTGTCACTGGTCTCCTTGTCACTTTCTAGGGTCACTATGTGACTGAAATAGGTGCATTTCATTGACAGCCAGCCCAGGTGCCTTTTAGGACAGTGTATTGACTTTGACTGAGTATATTGTGTGTGATTGCTCTGTCTGCACTCTAGGAATGGTGTTGGTGCGCACTGAGATGGGTCAGCTAGTGATGGTCCCTCAGCAAGCCCTTGCCCAGGCACAGGCCCAAGCCCAGGCCCAGGCCCAGAACAACATCTCCCCCCGAACTGCCACCCCCACTGCAGGGGCCACCTTCAGATCAACTACCCCACAGGTAAGAGTTACTACCCCACTGTCACTACCACACTGTGACATCCCTTACTTGTTCAGTGAATCAGTTACACAGAGGGATATATTAATTCAAAAATATGGATTTAGTTCATTACATTGAAAAATACAGTTGCTGCATTTATATAGCCTCTGGCTTATTGGGTAACTCATAATTTGGTATTCCTTATGATGGAAAGGCCTTTATTGCATAGGATGTTGAAGAGGTAATCTATTTCATAGAAGACTAATCTACACACTGGGCTGCTCTAGGTAGCTAAGTTTTACCGTTAGGTATAGTAGTAAAGAATTTGACTGTCAAATGTATGCAGACACATTCTCTGAGGATATCAAAAGAGATAAAGTGGTTATAGCCTGCCACCTAGCTGTCTCTCTGTAGTCACTTTACATTACTGAAGCCTCTGAGACAATTGGAATAGATTTATGGTTACCGTAACACTTTACATTATGTCCTTCTGTTAGCAGTGTAATTGCTCTAGTAACAACATTGTATTTGTATGCGTATAGTTTAAGCTGTCAACTGAAACTAGTAAACAAAATATAATCTACCTGACTTACATTATGTCAGTTTAGACATGTTACATTTGTCAGGTCTTTGCCGATCAAGCTTTTATCCAGACAGGTCTGTGTTTGACACAAATATTGTACCTTTTTATTGTGTTTCTATGTGTAATTATATAGTAATTACTTCAGATTTGTTATTATTTTGATAGAGCAGTAGATCTGGGTTAATATCCTTATTTTAATGACTCTTCTGGGTCCCCTATATTCCAAATGTAATGAGCTGGTAAATATTTCATAGAAATTTGCTTATTATCACCTGTGGAAACATTATTCATTGCAATGTCAATTTTGGTGGGGCAAACTCATCTTAAAAAAAAAAATGCATGCCAGCAAAACCACAACACTAAACAATACATTAATTGCACTATAACGGTGACAAACGGTGCCCACAAACTGTTAGGGCCTACATAAAGCTGTCCCAACAGCAGAGCTTTCTATTCAGCACCATGGAGTGAATCCTTAACACCGCTACACCTGGCTATCAGCAGAGCCTTGTCTGGCAGCAAAACAGTTCATTCAGCCTCATTTACTTCCTTTAAAAAAAACATACAATACCAGTCAAACGTTTTAGAACGCTTACTCATTCAAGGGTTTTTCTTTATTTTTACTATTTTCTACATTATAGAATAACAGTGAAGACATCAAAAGTATGAAATAACACATATGGAATCATGTAGTAACCAAAAAAGTGTTAAACAAATCAAAATATATTTTATATTTGAGATTCTTCAAAAAGCCACCCTTTACCTTGATGACAGCTTTGCACACTCTTGGCATTCTCTCAACCAGCTTCATGAAGTAGTCACCTGGAATGCATTTCAATTAACAGGTGATCCTTCTTAAAAGTTAATTTGTGGAATTTATTTCCTTAATGCGTTTGAGCCAATCAGTTGTGTTGTGACAAGGTAGGGGGGGTATACAGAAGATAGCCCTATTTGGTAAAAGACCAAGTCCATATTATGTCAAGAACAGCTCAAATAAGCAAAGAGAAATGACAGTCCATCATTACTTGAAGACATGAAGATCAGTCAGTATGGAACATTTCAAGAACTTTGAAAGTTTCTTCAAGTGCAGTCGCGAAAACCATCAAGCGCTATGATGAAACTGGCTCTCATGAGTACCGCCACAGGAATGGAAGACCCAGAGTTACCTCTGCTGCAGAGGATAAGTTCATTAGAGTTACCAGCCTCAGAAATTGCAGCCCAAAATAAATGCTTCAGAGAGTTCAAGTAACTGTTCAGAGGAGACTGTGTGAATCAGGCCTTCATGGTCGAATTGCTGCAAAGAAACCACTACTGAAGGACACCAATAAGAAGAAGAGACTTGCTTGGGCCAAGAAACACGAGCAATGGACATTAGACCGGTGGAAATTTGTCCTCTGGTCTGGAGTCCAAATTGGAGATTTTTGGTTCCAAATGCCATGTCTTTGTGAGACGCGGTGTGGGTGAACGGATAATCTCTGCATGTTTATTTTCCACCGTAAAGCATGGAGGAGGAGGTATTATGGTGTGGGGGTGCTTTGCTGGTGACACTGTCTGTGATTTATTTAGAATTCAAGGCACACTTAACCAGCATGGCTACCACAGCATTCTGCAGCGATACGCCATCCCATCTAGTTTGGACTTAGTGGGACTATCATTTGTTTCTCAACAGGACAATGACCCAACACACCTCCAGGCTGTGTAAGGGCTATTTGACCAAGAAGGAGAGTGATGGTGTGCTGCATTAGATGACCTGGCCTCCACAATCCCCCGACCTCAACCAAATTGAGATGGTTTGGGATGAGTCGGACGGCAGAGTGAAGGAAAAGCAGCCAACAAGTGCTCAGCATATGTGGGAACTCGTTCAAGACTGTTGGAAAATCATTCCAGGTGAAGCTGGTTGAGAGAACGCCAAGAGTGTGCAAAGCTATCATCAAGGCAAAGGGTGGCTATTTGAAGAATCTCAAATATAAAATATATTTTAAAATTGTTTAACACTTTTTTGGTTACTATATGATTCCATATGTGTTATTTCATAGTTTTGATGTCTTCACTATTATTAGTAAAAATAAAGAAAAACCCTTGAATGAGTAGGTGTTCTAAAACTTTTGACAGGTAGTGTAGCTGATATGGCTGACTTGCTTAAACAAATGTGGATTCTACTAACAATTGAGATGTACAAACTATGGCATAAGGGAATGATGAGCGGATAAGAGGCAATTCGTAATTTCGATTAAGAGATTAATGAGCGAGCTAAGACGGACATAGTCAATATAACTATTTGTTCAGCACTTTAGAAATGTACAGCGACAGAATTCAGAACATAGGCCTTTATTACAGTATTCTCCCTGTACACCCAAGTCAGAACCGTAGGATAAATAAAGGGGGCATACAGTGCATTTGGAAAGTATTCAGACCCCTTGACTTTTTCCACATTTTGTTACGTTACAGCCTTATTCTAAAATAAAAAATAAAATAAAAAAATCCTCATCAATCTACACACAATACCCCATAATGACAACGTGAAAACAGGTTTTTAGAATGTTTTGCAAATGTATATATAAAAAATATACAGAAATACCTTATTTACATAAGTATTCAGACCCTTTGCTATGAGACTCGAAATTGAGCTCAGGTGCATCCTGTTTCCATTGATCATCCTTGAGATGTTTCTACAAATTGATTGGACATGATTTGGAAAGGCGCACACCTGTCTATATAAGGTCCAACAGTTGATAGTGCATGTCAGAGCAAAAACCAAGCCATGAGGTCGAAGGAATTGTCCGTAGAGCTCCGAGACAGGATTGTGTCGGGGCACAGATCTGGGGAAGAGTACCAAAACATTTCTGCAGCATTGAAGATCCCCAAGAACACAGTGGCCTCCACCATTCTTAAATGGAAGAAGTTTGGAACCACCAAGACTCTTCCTAGAGCTGGCCGCCCGGCCAAACTGAGCAATCGGGGGAGAAGGGCCTTGGTCAGGGAGGTGACCAAGAACCCGATGGTCACTCTGAAAGAGCTCCAGAGTTCCTCTGTGGAGATGGGAGAATCTTCCAGAAGGACAACCATTTCTGCAGCACTCCACCAATCAGGCCTTTATGGTGGAGTGGCCAGACGGAAGCCATTTCCTCAGTAAAAGGCACATCACAGCCCGCTTGGAGTTTGCCAAAAGGCAGCTAAAGGACTCTCAGACCATGAGAAACAAGATTCTCTGGTCTGATGAAACCAAGATTGAACTCGTTTGGCCTGAATGCCACGCATCATGTCTGGAGGAAACTTGGCACCATCCCTATGGTGGCAGCATCATGCTGTGGGGATGTTTTTCAGCGGCAGGGACTGGGAGACAAGTCAGGATCGAGGGAAAGATGAACGGAGCAAAGTACAGAGAGATCCTTGATGAAAACCTGCTCCAGAGCGCTCAGGACCTCAGACTGGGGCGAAGGTTCACCTTCCAACAGGACAACGACCCTAAGCACACAGCCAAGACAATGCAGGAGTGGCTTCGGGACAAGTCTCTGAATGTCCTTGAGTGGCCCAGCCAGAGCCCGGACTTGAACCCGATCTAACATCTCTGGAGAAACCTGAAAATAGCTGTGCAGCGACGCTCCCCATCCAACTTGACAGAGCTTGAGAGGATCTGCAGAGAAGAATGGCCTCCTGTAGCTCAGTTGGTAGAGCATGGCGCTTGCAACGCCAGGGTTGTGGGTTCGTTTCCCACGGGGAGCCAGTATGAGAAATGTATGCACTCACTAACTGTAAGTCGCTCTGGATAAGAGCGTCTGCTAAATGACTAAAATGTAAATGTAAAAGAATGGGAGAAACTCCCCAAATACAGGTGTGCCAAGCTTGTAGCATCATACCCAAGAAGACTTGAGGCTGTAATCGCTGCCAAAGGTGCTTCAACAAAGTACTGAGTAAAGGGTCTGAATACTTATGTAAATGTGATATTTCAGTTTATTTATTTTTTATAAATTTGCATAGATTTATAAAAAACTGTTTTTACTTTGACATTATTGGGTATTGTGCGTAGATTGATGAGGGGGAAAAAAACTATTTAATCAATTTTAGAATAAGCCTGTAACGTAACAAAATGTGGAAAAGGTCTAGGGGTCTGAATACTTTCCGAATGCACTGTATAAGCAGACAATGAAATCTCTTACAATAGTCAATGATATTTCTCTAAAACAGGCTATAGGCTACATGTGCACCACCAGTTATGAGGGGGAAAGGGACCAAATCATTAGGGTGAGGCACATGGGCTACTAACAGCTTACTACACAACATACACTTAGTATTACTTTCTTAGCTACAGCAACATATCTCCCTGGCATATTACATCATTTATATCCAGCAGAATACAAGACATTTTTGGACTCACCATTGTTGTGCTGTGCTCACTTGAACAGGAAGGTGGCATGGCGGTCCTTCTTGTGGGCACATTTTGTCATACAACTTTGTCATCAAAGTCTGGCATTCTCTGCATTTATGGTGCTTTCAAGACAACTGGGAACTCTGAAAAAAACAAGGTTGAATCATTAGGTCAGTGGTCTTCAGGCCGGAGCTCTAGAAAGAGGCCCAAGTTTCCGACTTGGAATTCCGAGTTGGATGACCGTTCAAAACTTATTTTCCAAGTCTGGGCTCGTTTTTTTCATAGTTCCCAGATGTCTTGAACTCACTGAAGTCTGAGATTTCCCAGTTCCGAGTTTCCAGTTGTTTTCAACGCGGCAGAAGTCATGCTGCTGGATTGACAGTATGGCCAATGTATTCAACCTTTTCTGGCCGATGGTGTTGCGTGTGAATGTTTATCCTTTTAAGCTTGGAAATTAGACCCTTAAACCCAGACTTTGACCACACACCCTCCACCGAATAGCAGGCAGGGGAAGCAAAATAGTGATTGCTTTTCGATGCTTGCCGTTAGCCACTGATTCCTTCCAAACCACTCATTGTTGAATTTGTGTTTTCCAACTTGTGTAATGTTTATGTCCAATGGCCGATGAGCACCGATACATTTTATCTATAATTTCTCATCATATGACAAGGATTGAAAAGGATTTGCCAGTAGATTGTCGACGTGATTAATGATGATGACTGTTTGTCTAGCTTGCTAGCTAAGATTTTGAAAGTATGATGTTGACATGATCAGTCCAATCAAAGCTATGGTAGATACAGTATAACGTGATTTGACATCATTTTATCTGTGGCCAATGACCTTGAGCCTTCTTGGATGGGCACTTCATCATGTAAATCGCCTGGCAGCACCCAAGAGGGCTTGAACTGCCTAGCTCACCCTGTAGATTCTGCGGTGACGTAGTATCACCTTGAGTGACAGAACACTGAGCCAATCACGGCGCAACTAGAGAAGATTACCAACGCCTACGCTCTATATTTTCCGCTGGCTGCCCCACCACTACAGAAAGTGCTGAGCTAGGCTGAAACACCTGCATTTTGGAGCTGCCTTACTCAAGAAAGCAAAAAAGAGACCATGTTTGTATGCGGCTTTATTAACTCAATATTATATATTTTTTGATATGTGACACGTATTAATGCCAAAATAACATGCAAAACAAGCAACACAATTATTATTATATATATATATAGTATTTTTTTTCGCCACTGATTCATTGTGAAGCTTATTGTATTGAATCCAGAATGTGATAGGACTAACATGTTTCACGACTCTTGTTGGAAAACTTGTTAGTATACGTGTCTGCTGAACTTGACTGTGCTTGACAAAAGTTGATTTTGTATACTCTCTGTTGTCAAAGTGTCTGCTTTGAACAGAAAGGGTTTGTGGAATGGCAATTTGACGAACTGATATGAGATATCCTGTCTGGTACCTGCAGACAATAACATATAAATACCACCAGGGGGCAGCATTTCTTTGACTTGTATAATTCAGCTGAACAAAAGAGCATTGCAATACCTTTGATTACCATTGGGTGTCATTATGCCAGTATTTAGCCTCTAATTCTGTAGGATTGCAAATCAATGGATTGTTACAAAAAATATATATATAAGAATTACAAAGTAAAATGGTAATTGCACTGTAATAACCTAAGTGTGTGTTTGTTACTTGAGGACTCAGCACCACTAGACACTATGGTACCAGTAGGCTCAGACTTTGCATATCATTATTTTCACGAGCCGTAGAAATTAAGACGGTTATCTTTGAGTTGCTGAACTTGTTATCCTTCTTCCTACCTGCTCATCCTGAGATAAACACTGTAACAAAGTATTGCAGAGTTGGTTGTGATGTGATTTAGGCTCAGAGAGAATCGAAAGTTCAAAACTGTCACTGATAGCAGATTAGTGAGCTGCCACCATTGCCATAAACATCAACACATGAATACAAGAGGAGCTGGGATATGAAAGCGAATGGTGTTTATTCCCGGTGCTCCTCTCCTCTCTGTCGGGCTGTCTGTCACTCTTGTGACCGTGAGGGAAAACGGAAGGCATTCCGAGTCGAGCTCCTTCCTTCGACACATGTTAAATCATTCATCATCCAACTGCCTGATTGGTTTAAAAAGATAACAACGCTTTAGCTGGTGAATGAGAAATGTGTTACGAAGGCATGGCTGGCGGGGCGATGCACCCCCCGGCTCTTCCCCCCTCGTGAGTCCCATTCTCTTCCCCTCTCACTGCACATTCTTTGAGCCCACAAAACTTTCTGCTAAGGAGAGACTCAGAGGGAGGGGCCCTCTTCATCTAACCCCTTTCCCCTCTCCCTTCTCCCCTCTCCTGTCTCCCTTCTCCCTCTCTCGGTTGGCCCTGTGTGTGTGTGTACTGTAAGTGAGAGCTGAGAGCCAGGGACAGAGGGCCTCATCCCCTCCGACCCCTCCTGGTGTCAAGCCTGGTCCAGGCTGGCAGAGTAGGCTGTGTGCCCGTAGCGCCATGGGGCACCAGTGTGGTACTGTGTTACTTAGTGCCCAGCCCTCCCACCAGCATGGTACTGTGTTACTTAGTGCCCAGCCCAAGCCCTCCACCAGCATGGTACTGTGTTACTTAGTGCCCAGCCCCAGCCCTCCCACCAGCATGGTACTGTGTTACTTAGTGCCCAGCCCCAGCCCTCCCACCAGCATGGTACTGTGTTACTTAGTGCCCAGCCCTCCCACCATCATGGTACTGTGTTACTTAGTGCCCAGCCCCAGCCCTCCTACCAGCATGGTACTGTGTTACTTAGTGCCCAGCCCCAGCCCTCCCACCAGCATGGTACTGTGTTACTTAGTGCCCAGCCCCAGCCCTCCCACCAGCATGGTACTGTGTTACTTAGTGCCCAGCCCTCCCACCAGCATGGTACTGTGTTACTTAGTGCCCAGCCCAGCCCTCCCACCAGCATGGTACTGTGTTACTTAGTGCCCCAGCCCTCCCACCAGCATGGTACTGTATTACTTAGTGCCCAGCCCCAGCCCTCCCACCAGCATTGGTACTGTGTACGTTTAGTGCCCAGCCCCAGCCTCCCACCAGCATGGTACTGTGTTACTTAGTGCCCAGCCCACTCCACCAGCATGGTACTGTGTTACTTAGTGCCCAGCCCTCCCACCAGCATGGTACTGTGTTACTTAGTGCCCAGCCCTCCCACCAGCATGGTACTGTGTTACTTAGTGCCCAGCCCTCCCACCAGCATGGTACTGTGTTACTTAGTGCCCAGCCCCAGCCCTCCCACCAGCATGGTACTGTGTTACTTAGTGCCCAGCCCCAGCCCTCCCACCAGCATGGTACTGTGTTACTTAGTGCCCAGCCCCAGCCCTCCCACCATCATGGTACTGTGTTACTTAGTGCCCAGCCCCAGCCCTCCCACCATCATGGTACTGTGTTACTTAGTGCCCAGCCCCAGCCCTCCCACCAGCATGGTACTGTGTTACTTAGTGCCCAGCCCCAGCCCTCCCACCAGCATGGTACTGTGTTACTTAGTGCCCAGCCCTCCACCAGCATGGTACTGTGTTACTTAGTGCCCAGCCCAGCCCCCACCAGCATGGTACTGTGTTACTTAGTGCCCAGCCCGCTCCCACCAGCATGGTACTGTGTTACTTAGTGCCCAGCCCCAGCCTTCCCACCAGCATGGTACTGTGTTACTTAGGCCCAGCCCCAGCCCTCCCACCAGCATGGTACTGTGTTACTTAGTGCCCAGCCCCAGCCCTCCCACCAGCATGGTACTGTGTTACTTAGTGCCCAGCCCCAGCCCTCCCACCACATGGTACTGTGTTACTTAGTGCCCAGCCCAGCCCTCCCACCAGCATGGTACTGTGTTACTTAGTGCCCAGCCCTCCCACCACATGGTACTGTGTTACTTAGTGCCCAGCCCAGCCCTCCCACCACATGGTACTGTGTTACTTAGTGCCCAGCCCTCCCACCAGCATGGTACTGTGTTACTTAGTGCCCACCCCAGCCCTCCCACCAGCATGGTACTGTGTTACTTAGTGCCCAGCCCAGCCCTCCCACCAGCATGGTACTGTGTTACTTAGTGCCCAGTCCTCCCCATTACTGTTCGTGCCCATGACTGCGTGAGAGAGGTCTGTCGTACAGTGAGGTCCAATACCTGGATTGTCCAGTAACAGATTGCAGTACTAGTGCATTAACATTGTAGAGATGACCCAAAGCGATTGATTCTTGGCTCACATAGCAGATATTTATACCGATATGGCCAGCAAGTTTGCCATAGCACATGGACATGATTATTCTTAGTTGCCTCTTGCATAGAGCTCTTTTCCTCCATTGAACAGTGTTACTGTGTTACTTACCCTTGCACTCCATCACAGTTATCTCTTCGTCCTCCTGTAATCAGTCCTCTCTGTTCTCTCCGTGGATCCACAGTGATTTACTGTCACTTCCTACTATAATGACCTTTCTCTTCCACGTCTTCAGGGCATGTTGCACTTCTCCTTCTCCTCATCTTGAAGTCATGTTGCTTTTGTGTTTTCTCTCTGTCCCCTCTCTCTCTGTCCCCTCTCTCTCTGTCCCCTCTCTCCTCTGTCCTCTCTCTCTCTGTCCCCTCCTCGCTCTGTCCCCCTCTCGCTCTGTCCCCCTCTCTCTCTGTCCCCTCTCTCTGTCCCCTCTCGCTCTGTCCCCTCTCTCTCTGTCCACCTCTCTCTCTGTCCCCTCTCTCTCTGTCCCCTCTCTCTCTGTCCCCTCTCGCTCTGTCCCCTCTCTCTCTGTCCCCTCTCTCTCTGTCCCCTCTCTCTCTGTCCCCTCTCTCTCTGTCCCCTCTCGCTCTGTCCCCTCTCGCTCTGTCCCCTCCTCTCTCTGTCCCCTCTCTCTCTGTCTCCCCTCTCTCTCTGTCCCCTCTCTCTCTGTCCCCTCTCGCTCTGTCCCCTCTCTCTCTGTATCCCTCTCACTCTGTCCCCTCTCTCTCTGTCCCCTCTCTCTCTGTCCCCTCTCTCTCTGTCCCCTCTCTCTCTGTCCTTCTCTCTCTGTCCCCCTCTCACTCTGTCCCCTCTCTCTTGTCCCCTCTCTCTCTGTCCCCTCTCTCTCTGTCCCTACTCACTCTGTCCCCTCTCGCTCTGTCCCCTCTCTCTCTGTCCCCTCTCTTCTCTCTGTCCCCTCTCTCTCTGTCCCCTCCACTCTGTCCCCTCTCTCTGTCCCCTCTCTCTCTGTCCCCTCTCTCTCTGTCCCCTCTCTCTCTGTCCCCTCTCTCTGTCCCCTCTCTCTCTGTCCCCTCTCGCTCTGTCCCCTCTCTCTCTGTCCCCTCTCTCTCTGTCCCCTCTCTCTCTGTCCCCTCTCTCTCTGTCCCCTCTCTCTCTGTCCCTCTCTCTCTGTCCCCTCTCTCTGTCCCCCTCTCCCTTCTCCCCTCTCTCTCTGTCCCCTCTCTCTCTGTCGCCCTCTCCTCTGTCCCCTCTCTCTCCTCTCTGTCCCTCTCTCGTCCCACGCCCTCTGCCTCGTCCCCCTCCTCCCTTTCCCTCCCTCCCCTGCCTGACAGCCCAGCCTCCACCAGCATGGTACTGGTACTAGTGCCACCCGCCCCCACCGCTGGTATGTGTTACTAGTGCCCAGTCCCTACCAGCATGGTACTGTGTTACTTAGTGCCCAGCCCAGCCATCCCACCGCAGTACTGTGTTACTGCCAGCCCTCCTACCGCATGGTACTGTATTACTTAGTGCCCAGCCCTCCCACCGCATGGTACGTGTTACTTAGGGCCCAGCCCCAGCCCTCCCACCAGCATGGTACTGTGTTACTTAGTGCCCAGCCCTCCCACCAGCATGGTACTGTGTACTTAGGCCCAGCCCAGCCTCCCACCAGCATGGTACTGTGTTACTTAGTGCCCAGCCCCAGCCTCCCACCAGCATGGTACTGTGTTACTTAGTGCCCAGCCCCAGCCCTCCCACCAACATGGTACTGTGTTACTTAGTGCCCAGCCCCAGCCCTCCCACCAGCATGGTACTGTGTTACTTAGTGCCCAGCCCTCCCACCAGCATGGTACTGTGTTACTTAGTGCCCAGCCCCAGCCCTCCCACCAGCATGGTACTGTGTTACTTAGTGCCCAGCCCAGCCCTCCCACCAGCACATGGTACTGTGTTACTTAGTGCCCAGCCCTCCACAGCATGGTACTGTATTACTTAGTGCCCAGTCCTCCTACCAGCATGGTACTGTGTTACTTAGTGCCCAGTCCTCCTACCAGCAATGGTACTGTGTTACTTAGTGCCCAGCCCCAGCCCTCCCACCAGCATGGTACTGTGTACTTAGTGCCCAGCCCAGCCTCCCACCAGCATGGTACTGTGTTACTTAGTGCCAGCCCCCAGCCCTCCTACCAGCATGGTACTGTGTACTTAGTGCCAGCCCCAGCCTCCTACCAGCATGGTACTGTGGTACTTAGTGCCCAGCCCTCCTACCAGCATGATACTGTGTTACTTAGTGCCCAGCCCCAGCCCTCCCACCAGCATGGTACTGTGTTACTTAGTGCCCAGCCCTCCTACCAGCATGGTACTGTGTTACTTAGTGCCCAGCCCTCCTACCAGCATGGTACTGTGTTACTTAGTGCCCAGCCCCAGCCCTCCCACCAGCATGGTACTGTGTTACTTAGTGCCCATCCCCAGCCCTCCTACCAGCATGGTACTGTGTTACTTAGTGCCCAGCCCCAGCCCTCCCACCAGCATGGTACTGTGTTACTTAGTGCCCAGCCCTCCTACCAGCATGGTACTGTGTTACTTAGTGCCCAGCCCCAGCCCTCCCACCAGCATGGTACTGTGTTACTTAGTGCCCATCCCCAGCCCTCCTACCAGCATGGTACTGTGTTACTTAGTGCCCAGCCCTCCTACCAGCATGGTACTGTGTTACTTAGTGCCCAGCCCCAGCCCTCCCACCAGCATGGTACTGTGTTACTTAGTGCCCATCCCCATCATGGTACTGTGTTACTTAGTGCCCATCCTCCCTCTCACTGTCTGCCCTGATGCTGTGAAGAGAGGCTTCTGTCGTGACACAGTGGGTACAATAATCTGGATTGTCCAGTAAAGGACTGTGCAGTGATGAGTCATTACACATTGTAGAGATGTACCAATATAGGATTGATTCTTGGCTGAAACAATAACAGATATTTCATACCGATATGGCAAAAAAGCAAGTTTGCACATTAGCAAGCAAAGGACACTGATTCATTCATATTAGTTGGGACTCTCATTGCATTAGAGGAACTTATTTAGTCCTTCCCATTGAATAGTGTTATTGTACCTCACCCTTGGCATCAGCATCACAGTATTATCTCTTCTGTTCCTCTCTGGATCAGATCAGATCCTCTCTGTTTCATCCTGTGGATCCACAGTGATTTACTGTCACTTCCTACTATAATGACCTTTCTCTTCCACGTCTTCAGGGCATGTTGCTTTTGTGTTTTCTCTCTGTCCCCTCTCTCTCTGTCCCCTCTCTCTCTGTCCCCTCTCTCTCTGTCCCCTCTCTCTCTGTCCCCTCTCTCTCTGTCCCTCCTCCTGCACGGACCCTGTCTCACCTGCCCCTCCTCCACTGACCCTGTCTCACCTGCCCCTCCTCCTGCACGGACCCTGTCTCACCTGCCCCTCCTCCTGCACTGACCCTGTCTCACCTGCCCCTCCTCCTGCACGGACCCTGTCTCACCTGCCCCTCCTCCACTGACCCTGTCTCACCTGCCCCTCCTCCTGCACTGACCCTGTCTCACCTGCCCCTCCTCCTGCACTGACCCTGTCTCACCTGCTACACCTCCTGCACTGACCCTGTCTCACCTGCCCCTCCTCCTGCACTGACCCTGTCTCACCTGCCCTTCCTCCTCCACTGACCCTGTCTCACCTGCCCCTCCTCCTGCACTGACCCTGTCTCACCTGCCCCTCCTCCTCCACTGACCCTGTCTCGCCTGCCCTTCCTCCTGCACTGACCCTGTCTCACCTGCCCTTCCTCCTGCACTGACCCTGTCTAACCTGCCCCTCCTCCTGCACTGACCCTGTCTCTCTTTTTCTTTCTCTTTCTTTCTCTCTGTTTATTTTCTGCAGTCTCCTGTGTCCTCTCAGGCTATTCGGCCATGTCCTCCTCCTGTCCAGGCCAAGATGGTGCAGTCTCCCTCTCCCACTCCTAGTCCTGTCCTCCAGATCTCCTCCTCCCCTGCGCCACCTTCTGTGAGCAGACTCTCTACTACAGAACTTCCGATCTCTCCATCCTTCCATCCCTCTCAGACCCTCCTCCTCTACCCATTCCTCCATCCCTTCATCATCTTCCTCACCTCTTTACCAACACAAGCCTAAAAGTTTATCTAATCTGGGCACATCCCATCTAACCCCTAGAGAGTTCATTATTGAATTATATATTCGGTCAAAATTGAATGATTTGTGTATAGCTGTCACTTCACATAGTTTTGGCCAAGACCAGTGGGGGGACACGGGTGGGGGATTACTGGTATGTTTAGGGTTTTCTAGTCAGGTGCATCATTATTGGGAGGAGCTGTTTTGCTTGAATGTCCCCCAGTCCCCTCTCCTCCCCTC